TCAAAAAAAAAAATAAATAAATAAATAAAACCAGCACAGGTGGTTGACGGCGGTCTCTCTATCATCTCATCCTCCGTCGTTGTCGTCGTCGTCGTCGTCGTCGAAAAAGAGCAGTTACTGATATAAGCATTCACGTGATATTGTGATTACATAATACGCGTTGCTCGGGGCAACAAAGCTTTTCTTTTGTCGAAATAAACAAGGATCCAAGAAACACACAGAAACCCAGACATCACATCATCACACACCACACATTGGACAGACAGGCGACTGACAGGAGACACCGTCGACAGTGAGGTGGGACACAACTTCAGGGAGTGACATACTACAACCCGCTTCCCAGGAGACAGTCAATGCGCCATGGAGTCGTCGTCGCTGAAGTACACTCGAGATACGGGCTCCCCCCTTCATCCGCTATCACCGCGTCGCATCAACCAGCAGACAATGAACAGAGCATCGCCGGTGCCTTCGGATCTGGCGTATCTGCAATCCAAATCGGACAGGCACTCTGTCGATGTCCAGTCCAAAGTTGCGTTTCTCAACAGGCTTGCGAGCCCCAGCAGCCCCGCGCCACTGCCCCCGTCATCGACCACACATGCCGCTTTGCAAAGAGCGATATTGGGCCGCGAGGAAGCCGAAGAAGCATTGAAAGCAACAACTGAGGAGTTGAACGAGGCAAGGCAACGGGAAAGACGAGTGAGTGAACGGCTCGAGTCATTACTCGAGGAACTACACACATTCAAAGAACGACAGTCACAAGAGCGAACACTGTTTGAAAAGGAGATACGGCGTGCCAGGAAAGAAGCGTTTCGTGCCGGCTCCAATTTGGTCAAGGCACAAGAGGAATTGAAATCCTCCCGAGGAGAGATCAAGAACCTCAAGGATGAGGTCAAGGCTGAACGAGAAGCCAAGGACAAAGCTAGACAAGAGGCATTTGAACGCGCGTATGCTTTGGCAGGTTTGACGGAGGAAAATGAAGTGCTAAAGGAACAAATAAGGGCCTTCGAGACGGACAATCAGTCAGATATTCTTGAGGCGCAAGCAGAAATAATGCGAGGAGAAACACCGCGAAGCAGAGTGCAGAGGTCAAGCATAAATCTCATGTCAGGAAGCCCAGCGTTGAGAGGGAAAAAGCGTGGCCAGCCTGATTCAAGGGATCAAATGTCACCTGTCCGGAAAAAGAGCGCTCAACACCAACCTGACTTCCGGTCTAGCTTGAAATCACCCACGAAATTAACGCCTGGCCGCGACATGGTACCATTTGAGCAGGAGGATGAGCCTTTGAAGCTAATGGATAATGAAAGGGAAATAATATTGGAGCTTGAAGAGGATTTGCGTTGGGAGAAGCTAATGCGAAGACGTGCAGAGGATATGATTGACTTCTTGAAGCTAGAATGTCAATTTAAACGGTGCTCTTGCAGGATTGCGGAACGGCAAGGGGTTAAATATGTGCACGACTTAGGTTGGGAAAAGATAAGTCCTGCTGAGAATCAAGAGAAAAAGGCAGTTGCAAATATACCCAGTCCACCGCCTGCCAGGAAGCCGTCGCCGCAGTTACAGATAGCTCAACGATCTCCTACTCCGGAAGGTGATGATGTTGACTGTCCTGAACCTGACCCTGCAAGCAATGAGGCCCCCGTCGAACCCGATGTTGTCTTCTGTCCAGATACCGGAACTTTCAAAACAGTCCCATCCCCAGTACGCAAAGCAGAGACCATGCGACGTGAACAGCCAAATATTCGTCCTCCAGTGAACCATGCAGATCCACCTCCAAAGTTAAGGCGATCACTTCATGACGACCCCATTCCGACTCCAAGCTTGGGTGAACCAAAGAAGAGAAATGAAGAGCCACTACCAGTTGCGGCATTAGAGGCCTCTCATCATCAGCCTTCATCTTCACGATCGCGTATTCAGGAGCAGCCTGCTGATACAAACTCTCGGAAACGCTACGTGACGCCTCTCCCCTTGGAACAACGCCAGCGTCAAAACAACCCCACAGCCGAAGTTGAAACAATCACAACCACGAAGACGGTCCCGCTTAATTCCGAAAAACCGTCAGCCGATTTATCTGCAAAGCTTCCCGGTACTCCCATTAGTCGTGAAGAGGCCCTGGCTCAGATTCGAGCACGACGTGGCCGTACACAGAGCGCCCTTAAACGGTCTGCCAGCGCAAACGATGCGAGCCATCGTCCCCGTGTCGTCAGTGGAGCCTCAACCCCCAGAAATGGAGTAAGAAGCCTGTCAAGAGCTGAAGGTACGATCAACCGTGCCAAACCTGGCCGCCGTGGACTTTCTGCTGCTGGCCATGGATACTAGAGTTCAGTATCAAAAGGCAACAGTCCAAAGGCATCAGTAGCCTCCGGAGCCTAAGGACTTTATATCTCGCAGGTTTTATCCGAATTTTTTATCCACTGTGCATACTCATTGCAGCAAGTGCGTGCATTATATTTGAAAGTAGTACCCCTTTTAATGGTTTCGCTTTTGATGTCTTTCTACCTCACTCATAGCGTTGCATTCACCATTCTTTTCCCCCTTTTTTACGATGCATATGCCATGACCTAAGTTTTCGAGCCCGTTTCCTTTATCTAGCGCTCTATCTCGTCGAACAAAATTGGAGTTATGGGAATATATAGGCCTTGATAGATTAGTTTCTTTCTTAAATCTATCATATAGCTATATGTTATTTGATATCTCTGCGATAACTTCACCATTTTGGTCAACATTAAGGCAACGGAAAAGGAGTAAGTAACAACAAATATGCTCTGAAAGTAATAGTTGATATGCATCATAAGTAAATATACCAAACTATACAAGACTTTCCACCTAGTTATATGATTCTTACACCACAGCATTGGATATGAGATCCCTCAACCTGGGCTTTCCGCCCCCACCATACATTCACCAGCTCTACAACGAAGACTTTATCGGCATGACTCCAGGCATCAAGGCCCATGTTGGTTATATCCGAGGAAGTAATCGTGATAATGCCTTCTTCTTCGTCTGGTGTACGCAAGAGCGGCTGATCATCATGTTCGCCTACAAGCGTAGAAGAATTCTGTTCGTCATCCTCCTGCTCTCCGCCCTCATTATCACGGTAGCGGCGAAGCGAGGACGTTTCGCTCTGGTTGCTGAGGTCAGGAGATTCGTCCAAGTCTTCTTCAGTCTGGCGAGTGATGATGTCGAATAAGATAGTGAATATCTGGGTGGTCAATCGTCTGAAGTAGGTTATTATAGCTATTTCCTGGGACGTATTATTCGCATCTGGTATGACCATTGACTCTCGGCGGCGGAGCGAATTCGGGTTTGAATGGTCGTCTACAGCCTCTGTGTCGTCACTGGATATCTGGAGAAGTTCCGCATCTTGTTCTGCCTCTTCGTCTGATGGTCCTGCGCCTTTTTCTCCAGCAGAAGCCCACCATATGAAAGATGTATATGCTAGTAAAGGCCAGGAGATCGGTTCAACAAGGGAACTTGATGAAAAAGTGGATGCGTTATCTGAGTCTTCTCTGTCAGGACCGGATATCTCGCCTAGCCGCGAGAACTCTCTGAGTCCATCTCGTAATGTTATGAATCGACGGCTATCTCGTTGTGTAGCTTTTATGGGAGTAGGTTTTGCTTTTGGGTCCTTTTGCTGGCCTGCAGCAGCTGGAGGGGAAAGGGACATTTTGGGGTATATTCTTTCAGGTGCTTGCCTGGAATAGTTTGGTGGAAGGGTAACGAGGACATCGTAAAGTTCTGGTCGTAACCCGAGAACGCGGTCACTAGAACAAGCTATCCAGCATGGGTCAGTGCTAGACAGAGCAGATAGCTGGGCCATGTCGTGTATGCCAATATTGAATAGAGGTCGTGGTCGGAAACTGGGTATATCTTTGGTGGAGGGAAGGAGGGATAGTAAGTTCTGAGGAAGAGATGATAGTAAGGATATGTTATATACTGGTTGAAGTTAGTTCGCTTGTCACTCATGGGTGTGAGTATCTTCAAGGGGTGAACGTACTAAAATTACAAGAGGACTCGACCGGAGCATCACCAAGGAAGACTATGCGTTTCCGCAAGAGAGCTGCACGATATAACGGGAATATCAAGGGTCCAAATGTGTCTAGGAAGTCCGGCAGAGTCAATGCAGGGTGATATGACGGGAGTGTGCGACTTGATATAAGCGCCGTCGCATCACTTAGAGCGCGCTGTCGACGTTTGGCAGGCGGCACAGAGGTTGGTTTAGGATGGGACATGGATTCCAATGGTGACTCGGGCGGTGAACTGCCCTCGCTGTCTCTTAATTGGTGTTTGTCCCAATAGCTGGCCAATGGCTGAGTGTCGTCCGGGTCTGTTGCTAGTTGTCTATCACGAAGGTCAGCAAGGAGTCTCCATTGGATTATAGTCCGGAAGAGCAATGAGAATGCATACATGGCAAGTTCCTTAAGCCCCGCAGCATGCTTCCAGCTTCTGCCGAGCCTACCATGGCTCAAAGGCGCAAGTATCCCTACTGAGAGCATAATCGCATTGCGCTCCGCCTCCCCCGCGGGTTGGTTGATAAAGGCGCTGAGGCCTATGTATCGATCATGGACGAAGTATCTACCCAGTATAAGTATTCGACTGGCAGCGTATCCTCCCACAGGAGCGTCTAAACACGTACACTAGATCCTCCTTGACGTTGTGTGCGCCAGAGGGTAGAGATTTGAATTCCACCGCATTCTCGAGTACAACTGGAGACCATCTGTCAGCAGGGAATACTGCGGCAAGGGGAGGGTCAAACGTACTCTCTGAAGCCGTCTTCTTCCAGGCAATCGTATATCTGCCGTTAAACACTTGCAATTAGCTAGAGAAGCAGAAGAGGCAGCAGAGAACAGCTGGGGGCTTTACCCGGCTCTGATGTCAAAGCGGATCAGGAACAAGGCCGCGATGTCTGGGGGAGCGCCGGGCGAGTCGAAGGCCAAGTCCATCCCCGCCGGTCTGCTGTCTGAGGGCATGGCTCCGTGCCGCCAGAGTCACTCACAGTCTCGATGACCGCTGTTGTCTCGTCTCGTTGTCTGTGTCTGTATGCGTCGTTGTCGTTGCGGTTACCGTTGTGGTGGTGGTGGTTGTGGTGGTGACCGGCACTAGTTATCACCCAAACTTTAGTTGCCCTATTCAGTTTTTCTCCTTTTTTCTGCTTTTTCGCAGCTTCAACAACTCAACCACGACACCAATTCACCTTCACCGGGCAGAGGTCAACCGAGAAGAGCGAGAGACGAGAGACGAGAGAGCTGCCATGGAGCCTGCACACCCATACTACCCGCTAGACGCCAAAGTGGTCGGATACCTGGCCAACGACTGGGACGTCCCGACACTGGTATGCGCTTTTCTTGGAGGATGGGGCGCGCTGCTTCTGCTGACACTGGCGGTGGTCTCTGTTGCTCGCCCCAGCCTGAAGATGGGCGACAAGGTGGCCATCCTGTGGTTTGTCCTGAGTGAGTAGCTTGTCCCTGTGCTGGTACTGGTATTTAGATTTGAGAGATTTGGCTGCTAACAGTAGACCAGGCGGTAGCATCCATTTCTTCTTCGAGGGCTATTTTGTGTATAACCACACTCGAATGGCACCGGCGCAGGACTTTTTTGGCCAGCTGTGGAAGGAATACTCTCTCTCGGACTCGCGGTACCTCACCTCGGACCCGTTCGTGCTGTGCATGGAGACCATTACTGCGGTGAGACTCGATAACCTTACCCCCTATTTAAAAAGAAGGAAGGAAGAGGTCCTGGTTGCTAGGGCATGAAGCTGATGAAGAATAGGTCTGCTGGGGCCCATTGTGCTTCCTGCTCGCATATCTTATTACCGTCGACCACCCTTTGCGCCATTCCTTCCAGGTGATTGTCTCCCTGGGTCAGATATACGGAGACATCCTCTACTATGCTACTAGCATGTTCGACCACTACTTCCACCAGGTCAGCTACTGCCGGCCAGAGGGATACTACTTTTGGTTTTACTATTTCACTATGAACGCCATCTGGATCGTTGTGCCTGCCTGTAAGTCGACTCCTACCAGCCTCTCAAGTATCCATACTGATTGTGACAGACTACATGTGCCAGAGCATAGGCATCATTACCAAATCGATCCAGTACATGAAGGCCGCTACCATAAACCGCAAAACCCAGTGATATCTCCGTCTTCTACTAAATCTTATTTGATGGACTTCACGACCATCTTACGAGCACCATGTTCAACAGACATATTCAGCCTCCTTCGCGAATAGATATGCAATTGTAATTAGACCGGACGCTACCTTCTAGATAGACCATGCACCATAAATCACATAGAACATATGGCGCTTTGTATAAAGTCTCTAACTAACGCCCCTCAGGAAGAACCATGGGTAGCATCGAACCTTCCTCTCCTTCCCCCCCCCCCCCCCCAACCCTCATTGATGGCCAGGGCCATCCAGGCCTTAAATATTTACAACTTTGTGGCCATAATTTTGGCCATCTTAATTGCCGCGTTCAGAACTGGCCATTTGGGCCGGCTGCTGGCCAAGTAAGCGTCAACTCCCAACTCCTATCTACGGACATCCAGGGACATCAATTTGTATTAATACAACATTTGCCAGCTACGGGGATTGGCGTCGTGCTCGCCGTGTAGCATCAGCGCCACTGCCAAAAACAACACACTACTACCACCATTCTCATTCTCCTTCTTCTCATCATCATCTTCTCCAGCATCACCTTCAGCATCATCTTCAACATCATCTTCAGCATCACCAATATCCTCCCCCTCCTCCCCTCCTCTGTCTCGTTCCGCTCGAATTGCCATCACGAGCACCACGAGTAAAGGAACAGTAGACTACTACTATTAGTTACTCCCCAAGACTGCCAATCCTAGAATAAATGTTTCCTGCCTGGTTAAGTACTACAACTCAGGGGTAACACCTATGAAATCCGAGTCGCAGGCATATACTTACCTATACACCAGATATATAATGTTAACCCCGTTACTAAACCCAAAATATGATTAGTTGGACGTAAATAAGCTAAATAGCTAGTTAAAGTATGTAGGAGTGTAGTTCCTATGAAGAGTCAAGGCCTACCATTACTTAGGCCCTCATGCACATTATGTATAAAGTGTGGACCAAATCTCTGCATATTGTGTATTCCCACCAGTACGACCAAGCAGAAATTAATAAATGAACTAAAGTAATAATGGTTATGTGGTTATCCGTGGACTTGCCGCAAATATTCTTCCCATTACGCATCTAGACCATGGTGCTGATTGCATGACTGTTACTCAATCTATATTCTATACCTAATATACTTCATAGCTGGTAGCGCTCGCTGGTTAGTTATTCATAATTTCAATCATTAATATTGGATAGGTGTAAAATACAATCTGCAATGTTTGTTCACTCGTCATGGTCCAGCTATCCCACAACCCGGGGCAACAACTCGGCGGAAGAAAGCATCGTAGGTATTTTTGGTGTTTTTGTTCGCAGTCAGTTTGGCCGAGCTCCAATTAAACTTTAAACTTTAAAATAAAAATAGTTCATCCAATCAACAACGCTAATTACAAATTTAATTATTTTGTGAGAATCCTTATTGGCGAATGAAGAGGAACTAAAAATAGTTTATTTGCATTTATCCAACTGTCACTATGACGTATTGTAACTAAATATATGCGCCCTTTAATAAAGGCGATGTCAACTCACTTTTCATGACAATTGTCAATATCAAGCGTTTGATAAAAAATCACGTAAAAAGATAAAAACGGAAATAAGCCTATAAATATAAATTCTGGTATTGTTAATATATCTTTTCTCTCTATATTTTCTATTTACTTTAATGCAACCAGCCCAGTCCTCGGTTTCTAATCAACGAGTAATGGAGCATTCGCAAAGCCACTCTTCTTAAAAAGGTATCCCACCCCACTTTTCTCTTCTTTTAGCAATGACAATAGAACTTCGTCTCCAATACTTGCTTCAATACTTGTGTTTGTATCACAAACGGCCTCGTCTCCGTCAACATCTTGTTCTCCGGTGTTCAACAAGGTAGTATCAATATGGGAGTATTGCATTAAGAAACGCTTTTTGGCTCTCTCGTATGCTTTCTGCTGTTTAGATGAAGGTTGAGGTGCTCCAGATATCATGAGCTCCGACGCTTTCATCAGCTTTGGAAGATCAGGGAACTCGTCGTCTGAATCTTCCAGCTCATGGTCTTCATCCTCGGAAGAAGAAACGGAGATTGATTCTGCACGAAGGTTGTCTTCATCCTTTATATCCTTAGACGTCTCTCCCCGACCACCACACTCGCATCCTAATAATTCGTGAGTTTGGCACTTGGAGATCTCATCCAGACGGAATAAATCTTTCAATTCCTCCTGTGAAAAATGGGCTATGCCACCCTTTTGATCCATAACGCTATCTGCCAAACCAAGTTTTGTCACTTGTCGCTGCCAGATCTTCTCTTCTATTCCACCTTTGAGCAATAGACGGTAGATATGGCAGTGTCGCTTCTGGCCATCTCGATGAATCCTTGCCATTGCCTGGATGTCAGTTGCTGGGTTCCAGTCCACGTCGAAAAGTACAAGCCTGCTGGCTCCGATGAGGTTCAGCCCTGTACCTCCTGCTTTTGCGGAAAGTAAGAATGCAAAACAAGATGAAGACGGAGAACGATTGAAATCCTCTACTAGAGCCTGACGTTTCGTGGCAGGTGTAGAACCATCTAGACGCAAGAATGGGAGGTCTAGCGAAGTCAGGAGATTTGCCAGCAGGTTTAACGTAGAAGTATAATTGGACACCAGGACGACTTTCTCTTTCGTCTTACTCTGTAGGTTATAGAGCAATTGATCGAGAACTCTGATCTTCCCGCTAGAACCCGCAGCAAGACAGCGATGAATATTCGGTGGGAGAGAGGATAACAAAGCACTCATTGATGTGTCTTCACCTTTGCCATTATCCTCTACCTTCGGCTTAAGCAACGAGGGGCTGTTGCATACTTTCTTCAGAATAGTGATAAGTTGTAAAGCACTTTCAGAGTTTCTCAACACAGATTGGAACATAGGAGAGGCGAGAACGTGATGGTATACACTTCTCTGCGCAGAAGTAGGATTGCAGAATAATATGTACTCTGTTTTTGGCGGCAAGTGTTTTGAAAGGATATCAGCTGTCCGGCGGAGGATAAACGGAGACGTCAACTCCGCCAGTTCTTCACTTCTAGCCTTCCCCTTTTCGATGACCTTCTTAGGAGCATTTGGCTGTCTAGCTCCAACAATTGGGCCTTCAAAATCCCTCATAAATGACTTAAACGTTCCTAGGAGGGCAGGGTTGACAAAATCCACCATAGCAAAGAACTCGCTCAATTCGTTCTGGATTGGTGTCCCAGAAAGAATAATTCGGCGTGTAGTGTTTAGAGATTGAATGGCCTGTGAACTCTTGTTTTGCACAGTCTTCAGCCGATGGCCCTCGTCAGCAACAACAATGTCTATTCCAGGCCCTTTTGTAAGTTGGTCTTGCACAGAACGTAGTCTCTCATAACCAATGATCATAACACTATAGCTTCGTCCCATTGTAAAATCTGATAACCGATTTCCCTTACCATCAGCAACAAATACACCAATTCGATCGCTGCCTAGCCATTTCTTAAATTCTTTTTTCCAGTTGTTAATAAGGGTAACCGGGCAGACAATTAGGGCCTTCTTGATTACTGGCTGAGAACCGTATATGGGATTCTGCTTCAGTAGGGTCCAAATTAAGGCTATTGTTTGCAGTGTCTTCCCTAGACCCATTTCATCGGCTAGAATAGCTCCTTCGCCATTGAAAGGCCGCAGCCCCATAACACACTCATAAAGAAACTTAACACCCTCCTTCTGGTGCTCCCTTAGATGTTTCCCTAGAATCGGGTCAACGACGACATCTACTATCTGTTTGCCAGGGGGGACTGAGCTAGGTCTTTTCATTACCACAGCGCCAGGTAGAGTGGGGTCATGTCTAGGGGTTATTTGCCCGCTCGATCCTGGCGGTAACACGGTAGACTGCTTCAAAGGGTTCTTAAAAGAGCTATTGGTGGCATAACTCCGCGAGGCAGACATATTAAGGGGTTTTTGGGTCTTCAAATCATTCAGCGAAATTTTCATTCCGGGTTTCGAGACTGTATTAGAAGGAAGGCGAGAGTTATGGGATGGAGTATTTGCAATGTTGTTCTTTTTTTCAATGCTGTCTTTCTGTGCTCCATTTGAAGTGGAAAGGAATTCCTTCCGGCTAAGCACTGACTCCACCTCGACATCCTTACCACTTATAGACAATGAAGCTCCAGGTTCCAGGCTAGATCTCAGTATAATCTTGCCCATTTCCCGCCCAGATACATCCTGCAGGTAGCCATAGTCGCCCCGAGCAATGATGATTCCGTCTCCATCCCAAGTTTTATTCTTCTTAGCAGTAGGTTTGCGCCTAAGAATATTTCAGTCGTTAGCTTTGCATAATTAAGTCAATACAATAGATATAATAATATAATTACCAAAGTACGCTGTAGTATGTCTCATTATCGCAAGTTTCTACTACCTCCTTGTCACCGTCATCACAGGTGTTCACCCGCCTTCGTTTACGCAAAGGCTCTTCGGGGATTGAAGGCACACGCGCTGTGGCAGTTGTGGTCGAGGGTTGTGGCTTTCTGGGAAGTGGGGAACGGAATGGCTTGAATGACATTGCACCAGCATAGAATTCAAGTAGTTTGCCTGGTCTACTGCCTAATGTAAAAATAACATGAAGCTGATGCCGTCGATGTTCGCGGAGTCCAAAGTTTTTAATTTAAGCGTTACACGCGTCAAGGCAGACGCGCTATCACGTGATCATTTCGTTGTCCAAAACTTTAGGTATAAATTTATTAGGTCATAATACTTTATGTTTAGAATTTAATGATATATTTTTATAAGAATGTTATCTTTTGCAGTATGCAAAATTACGAATATTGCTGGAAGAATGGATCATAGTCTAGCCACTCCGTACTGAAGTCTCACTCATCTGAAAACTTATTACTCAAATTACAGTTTCTACATACCTACTTCCATAGAGCATTCTGGAGGCATTTCATATGGTCTTGATCAACTTTTTTTTTCAAATTCTACCCACCAGTTATATGCTAAAAAAAAAAAAAAAAAAAAAAAAAAAAATAAAGTATTCAACGGAGCGGATTATGAAAGTAGATATGAAATTTCGGGTATATATCGCAACTTTATGAGTGCGTGCTAACGTTCAAATGAAGAAGGCTTTTTGTGTATTGAAAATCAAATCAAAGTTCCAGGTAACCCAGACAATCAAAGGAAAAGCATGCATATCGTGACAATATCATATCAAAAACAAAAAAGAAAAGAAAAGAAACGAATCAGCAGTGAAATGAAACTGGATAGCCATCTTGCCAAAACGGATTAGGCTCACTTGTAGAGCCCTTCAGCATCGCCTTCCTCATCCTCATCGTCATCCTCGGTATCATAGTCCTCGTCATCAGAAGAAGTGTCCATTTTATCTGGATAGTCATCCTTATGGTTGGGGACAATCGTGACTTTTCCATTATGCATCACGACCCGAGCAACCTCTCCGTCTTTGATGCTTCCTCGCAAGATGAAAACGGCTAGGTTATTCAAAAGCTCTTTCTCGATTATACGGGCTAATGGTCGAGCACCGTATGCGGGTGAATAACCTGCCTTGCCAAGGTAGTCCTTCACCTCGGGCGAGCACATAATCTTCACCCTACGACCGTTGCTGTCAAGTCGTTTCTGGATCTCAGCCAGTCGGACATCAACGATCTTGCGGATCTCGCGCTTCGGAAGTCGGTTGAAGATGACGGTGCTTGAAATGCGGTTAAGGAACTCGGGGAGGAAGTAGTCGCTCAATGCACCCATGACCAATTGTCTTGTTGTTGGATCGATTGAGCCATCGGGAAGAGTTGGGCGGTTCAGGTATTCTGCGCCCAGGTTGGAGGTCATGACGACAATACAGTTTTTGGCATCAATAATGCGACCTTGGCCATCGGTGATACGACCATCATCCATCAGCTGTAGGAGAACAGTGAGAATCTCCTTTGCAGCCTTTTCGACCTCATCAAATAGCAGAATTGAGAATGGTCGACGCCTTAAGCCATCTGTCAACTGACCACCAGCATCATGACCGATGTATCCCGGAGGAGCACCAATCATCCTGCTGAGCGAATGCCGTTCCTGATATTCGGACATGTCGAAGCGAATCATGGCATTTGGGTCGTCAAACAAGAATTCAGCCAGGGCTTTGGTTAAGAGTGTTTTTCCTGTTCCCGATGGACCGCAAAACAGGAAGCTCGGAGGCGAGTTTGGATTGCTAAGGCCTGATCTTTTCAGCCGAATAGCATTTGACACTGACTTGACAGCTTCCTTTTGGCCAATCACGGTTTTGGATAGCTGCTGCTCCATGTTTAGCAGCTTGTCCTTCTCGGTTGTCTTCAGTCGAGTAACAGGGATTCCTGTCCATCGTCCAACAATTTCATTAATCTGATCGGGTCCAACGGCATCCACAACAAGGGAGTTATCATCTCCTCCGGCGTTCACGCGGGCCGCATCAGCTTTGGCTTTTGCACTCTCCAGCGCGCTGATTCGTTTTTCCACGTCGGGGATGGCATAGTATGCCAGGTCTGAGGCCCTTTGGGTATCTCCTGAGCGTGTTGCACTGTCGAGTCGTACTTTGAGAGATTCTAACTTGATCTTGGCCTCTTGGATGGTCTGGCTAAGCTCCTTTTCTTTCATGTACTTGTCGCGAAGTGGAATTAATTCCGCATTGACGGCCTCGGCCTCCTTTTTCGCATTCTCCAGACGCAGCTTGGAGTCTTTATCCTGCTCGCGTTCCAGCGCGTGGATTTCAATTTGAAGTTGACGATGCCGTCTCTCCAAGAGATCAAGGGCTTCTGGCTGGGATTCACGGGTTACCCTAACTGATGCAGCGGCTTCATCAATAAGGTCAACAGCGGAATCTGGAAGTCGTCGTGTGGTGAGATACCGAGCAGCGAGGGTCGCTGCGGACACGATGGCCGAGTCTAGGATGTTGACTCCATGATGTACTTCATATCGCTCCTTGAGACCTCGCAGAATGGATATGGTCTCCGGAACCGTCGGTTCGGCGACCAGGACCTGCTGGAAACGGCGTTCGAAAGCAGAGTCCTTCTCGATATACTTCTGGTATTCATTAAGGGTCGTTGCTCCAATGCAGTGTAGCTGACCTCTTGCGAGCATTGGTTTCAAAAGGTTGGCAGCATCCATTCCACCGGAGGAAGAGGCGCCAGCGCCCATGAGCATGTGGATTTCGTCGATAAAAAGAATGATGGTCACGTCTGAAGATTCAATTTCCTTCAGCACGTTTTTGATTCGTTCCTCAAACTGGCCCTGGTATGAGGCGCCGGCGATAAGGCCGCCTATGTCGAGGGATAACAGCTTGCATTTGGCCAAGCTTGCTGGCACGTCCGAGTTGACGATACGTCTCGCCAGGCCCTCGACAACTGTTGTCTTTCCAACACCAGGCTCACCAACCAGGACAGGGTTATTCTTTGTTCGTCGGCTTAAAATGCGAATGACTCTTCGCATTTCTTCCTCCCGCCCAATGACGGGGTCAATTTTTCCTTCCCTGGCTAGGGCGGTCATGTCAACTGTAAACTTCTTTAGCCATTCGTTTCCACCATCGGTCGAGTCTGCGGTTTTGCTGTCAATCTTCTTCGAGCCGCGTATTTCTGTGAGGGCCTCTTCGATTTTGCTGGCAGATGGGACTCCAGCCTCCTTAAGTCCCTCTTCGATAGACCTTTCTTGCGCAAGCGCTGATATAAGGTGGTAGATTGCAACGTAAGAGTCCTTCTGTTTCTTTGAAAGCTTATAGGCAGCAGCCATGACTTCGCTCAGGGCGGAAGAGACGGAGACTTGGGAGACTGCCGGGAACTGGGCGGGTAGTCGGACGATGACTTTCTTCAAGTATCGAGTCATCGCTTCCGGGTCTCCTCCGGCTTTCTCGATGACCTGCTTGAACATCGAGACGTCATCCCGCCCCTCCTCGTCATCTCCGTTCATGAGAACGTAACCAAGGTGAGCCGGCACCACTTGTGGGTGGCCATGCTCCTCTGCTTCGTCTGCTGCCTTCTCTATAGCATTGTAGGACCTGTCGGTAAACGACTCACGACTGGGAGCCATCGTGGCCGTGGGGTCGAGGGGTAACCAGTGTGTGTGTGTTTAGGGCTGTTTCCGTTATATATGTGTGTGAGAGCTGGTGTGCTTGATTTCTTGAGAAGCACCCTGGAAAACGATAGTTGTTAGCAAAAGTGGTTAATTGTAAACAAAGACTCGCATGCGTGTGTATATATATCCCCTTGGGCGCTTATTCCGCCTGCATCGTGAGCCTTGTCGATGTTTCGCGCCGTGTCCAGCGCCTTCACGAATGTTCCTTGGCACCATAAAGTTATGACGTCACTTCCAAAGTTTCTGACATTCAGGGAATTATTCGTGAATGCTTATGTCATCATCCCGGTACCTGCCCAGATAGGAAGCAACACCAACAAACCTCGTGTCAATTTCATTTCAACTTCACTTATATAGCCGGGTATCCCCAAGTTGGTACTCAAGTCGCTCACTAGGATTCCGACAATACTAGGTGATTTGCGATGAAGTATTAACTGTGGTATTCTTAAGCCAGGGTATATTTAAGGTATATTACATTGTGTGACGTTTCGTGATGCCAAATAGATATTAACTCTAATTATACTAGCTATGAGGACTGTAGGTAATTCCTCACTGATATGACTATTAACTGCAATGTCGAATTCGTCGCTAATTAACAACTAACCACTCAAATTCTTGTGTATGTGCATCTTTGCGTGAAATAGAGAAGGGGAGTGACAACTAAGCAGAGGTATAATGCTATGAACAAGTCAAGTAAATATGAAAAACAGAACATAACGGCACGCTAGCACGAATATTAGAGATGTATAAAATGGGGCAAGAAGAACAGAAGATAACATATGGCGGTTAATATCTCAACTTGCCGACAAGGCCAAAGGTATATGCAGCCTCTGCTTCACCCTTCATCTGAATCATGTACACTTTGAAGCATCCACCAACAACACCGCCTTCAGATGCAATTCCATCATATTCTTCCCAGATGGATACTGCGATTCCAGTTCTAGCGACTCGCTCAAAGGCACTTTCACCCAAGCATGCGTCGACCAGAGTCTCGCCACTGATTTTGCTTTTTATCAGGATACGTTTCTCGTCCTTGACTGGTGCACCGTTTCTACCGGCCAAAAGTGCGGCAGGGTCGCCAGCAGAGCCGGATGGTGGGCTTGAGGTGCCGCTTGGTTCTTGGTCGTCAGGGTGATTGGGGGGAGTATTTGAAGGAGTAGGGTCTGCAGGCAGAATGGTAAGTCTTGCTGCTCCCAGATCTCGCCATTTCGCTGCTGATTCACGGATGTATAGACGTATTTTTGCATTTGTCAAGCCGATTCCACCCTCCGCTGCCATCTTTGCAGTTTCCGGGTTAGTTGAAGAGATGCGTCGTCCTGATCCTGAGCCGGTTGAGGTAGAGGTGTATAAGCTTGTGTCGTCACGGCCGTTGCGAGAGGTAAGTGTTGATCTTGCGATGCTAAACATTTTGCTTCCAGCTCCAAAACGTTTCAGTGCAGAGAAAGCACTGGACATAGTGCCGACACTACTCTCTGTTCCGGCTGCTAGGGAGGCAGGTGGTGCAGTAGATGCGCGGTAACTACTCTTCGAGAAACCACCATGCCAGCTGAACCAGCCACCCTTAGTAGATCGGGTAGAATTCTGTCTTGAAATTGAAGTAGGCTGGCTGGGGTAAGGCACAGCGTTTTGCAAAGCAATGTATGTTGGGTTGTTAATACGAGAGTGGTTGATCAGGCCGTAGAGCTTGTCACAATCATCTGGGTTGCGGGATCGGAACATAACATTGCTGCCAGAAGAAACCTTGGACCGTGCAGTGGGAGGAGAACGAATACTTATATCGATGGCTGTTCCACGCCGAATTGGTACCAAGGGGGTAAGCTCAAGAGCAACTAAAGGTCGCCCAGATGGTCGAGTGGATTCAGGGGCCGATCCATTGCCTTGGCTAGATGGTCTAGAGTGGCTCGAACCAAGCTCAAATGCTTCAATCAAACCAGGAGAGACAATGATATGACATTCGTTAAGGTGAAGTGGCTCCCATGATCCTTTGTCGTGCCAGTAAAATACTGATGCAATCGTTTTGGACGCCCGGTCGGAAGAGCTATGGATAGATTTCGGTGAGGACCGGTGCGCAGAAGTTGGTCGGCTATTTGTAGGGGTAACATCCACAGACTCAAGCGGTGGTGCGCGCTTGGAAAGGCGGCGAGTGATGGGTGGTAAAGGAGTTGGGATATCATCGTCCTCCAATTCCTCGTCTGAAGTTTCGGACGATGAATCAACATCATATCGATGAATAGAGCTTGTATCTGACCCAGAAGACTCTGAGGCTGTTGAGGGAGCGTACTCGTGCTTAAGTGGTGATGAGGTCCGTCGGTGACGTGCATAGGGGGGTGCTGGCGGGCTGATAACAGGGCTCTTGAGTTGTTTTGATGACACCGGGCTAGGGGTACTATGTGGCGGTGGTATAGGTGCGTCCTCGCTGGACACTTGGTCATCGCTGGATGCCCTAGCGGGCTTTTCGCCGTTAACAAGAGACTTCCTCCCCTTGCTAGGCGTGCTTTGTTCAACCTTATCCTCTGGCTTTTGAACTGGAGAAGCGGGAAGGGGGACATTCTTCGGTGAAGTGGGAGGTGAATCCTTCGAGCTCTTTCTCAGCTTCGGAATTGTGGGGAATTCCAATGATGGGACAGGTGATAGGGAGCGGCGCCCGTGAGGTTGCACCAGAGATGCAATCGGGCGTTTTGCTTGTTTGCCTCCGCTACTATAGGTTGGCGATGGAGTCCTATCACGACCACGGCGGTCTTCTTTGGAGAGCAAAGGTGAGGACGGTCTATTGGACGACTCCCTATTGGGTGACTGGATGTCAGAGGAAACTGGACTGGTTGGTGAGGCAAAATCGTACTTCGACCGCCGGTTTGCTTTGGACCTCTTTAGTGTTAATGGTGACACGCTGCTTGTTAATTCTACGGTCTCTCCTGGGCCGCGGGAGGGTGTCGTTGGGGGAGCAGCGTCATGTTTATTGCTGGTGGATTCCTTTTTATGGCCAATATCTTCACCAACCACAGTAGCCTTCTCTCCAATGGGCACATCAACCTCAGAAGGGTCGTAATCGCGGATGGGAATGGTACCGTTATGACTGGCTTGACGTGCCTGTGCCAGTTTCTCCTTCCTCTCCTTTGCACGGTTAACAAAGCTGAGAGACCTATTTATCTTGGGCGGAACAGGATTGAGGCCAATCATTTGTACCCATTCGAAACCAATTTGCTCGTCATCTGTTATAAATGACAACAGTTCGTACCATTCGGTTGAATTTCCAGCAGATGCGCGAACCATGAGTACAATTTCTCCCTGTTCGTCTCCGTTCCTGGCTGAGATGCAGGTACAATCAATTGGGGGAAACAGAAGCCAACGGTCCGTCTCGTCAACCTCACAAATAAAAAGATCACCTCCAGGGGCTTCGCCAGGTGCATTATCTCGGAGTAGTAACTCGGCCCTGCAGTCGATTTGTTGTCCTGTGGAATGTAGCAAGGAGAGGTCAAAGAAGTCGCGGGCACGAACCCTCCTAGTCTGATTAACCTCCACATCCTTGAGAATGGCTAGAGTATGTATATCGCGAGCTCTGGATGCATCGATGCTCGCTGCAGCATCATCTTCAAGTCTGGATCGTTCTTCATTTGCTCTCCGTCGAGCATCTGTGACTAGCTTCTGGTAGGTCTCTGCAACTTCACCTGCTTTGGGGGATGGCTGGACGTAGTTTAGACCTTTAAAAGTCTTCGATAGATATTTCAACCTGACAAGGGGTCTCTTCAGTAAGAATGCAACATCTACCCTCTCCCCATCTCCATCAATCACATCACCATTTTCATCTTGTGCCATACCAGCGCACAAGCTCTGGGTTTCAGCCTTGAGGGGGTCCTCTGGATCGGGGGGTGCCAGGTTAACGATAACATCCTGAAATCCGAGTCTCCAGGCACTCAAATAGTCTGCATACACCTTTTGGGCACTTACGGCCCACGACAAGAGTGCGTCTGTGTTGTTCAGTGGCAACCGTTTGTGAAGAGCCTTGAGTTTTTCCAGGGAAACCCCCATGTTTATAATGGGCCGAGTGAAGTTTTCCTGGTCAGCTGGATCGGCTGTACGTCGGAACAGGCCGGCAGCAATAGCTGAATCCGCCCGAGAGAGGATTGAAGTCAATAGCACAGGAATAACACCGCCGACCAGGGTCCTCAATTCACGCATATACTTCACTTCGTCCGATGCGAGCTCCCGCATGATATCGCTCACAGTTGCATTGGCTAGACGGCTCCTGTTTGTACGGATGCTTCTCGCGGACCGTATGCTGCGGCTTCTGCCTCCAGGGATTGATAAGACAGACATGAGATCCGAATGTTTGGTTAGTCGGCGCTTCAATGGTTGTGTTGGTCCTGGTAAGGAGCTGGGGTCAAATTTGTCTCTCTTCTCGGAGTCGGAGACTGCATCATCGTCCCCGTCGTCAAGCTGGGAGGTCAGTTCAGACTGGGTGAGGGGGTGGCTTGATGTCTCCCTGGCAGTGGTGCTGGTATTGGTGCTTGAAGTTAAAGTATCTACAGATGCAATTGTTGAGAGCCTATGGCCTCCAGTACTAGGGAAGGGTCGTTTTAGCATCAAAGGCGGTGGACGGTCGACTGCCGAGACTTCAGATCCATCAGAAGAAATTGGCCTGTCCAAGCTGGACCCTTGCAGAGCTTCTTCAACCGACTCTCTCAGCTTAGACATTCTCTCTGCCTCTGTAGATGCGCTCAAGTGTCGTCGCGATTTAGAAGATGCTTTTCCTCGGTTTAAAGTAGAAGGCTGGGAATCAGTGACACTGTCTACCGACATATCAGATTTGGACTCCCTTCTGCGTGGAGTGGACTTGGCCCTATGTGTTTCGTCACTGTCACTTCCATCGGAATAGTCGTATTTTCCCCTAACGGGTTTGGTCGGCCGTACTTTGGTGTCTGAGGAAGGAGATGGGCGTTTCTTCGTGCTCTCGTGTTCACACTCACTATCCGAGTGTTCTTTATGCGGGATGGACGATCTGGTAGTAGAAGATCTCAAGGGCTCTGGCGCGCTGATGGTTGAAGTATTGTCGTCAACAAAAGGATCGGCATTGGCTGTAGATGATAACCAGGCCTCAACCTTAGATCCATGAGGCACTGACGGTCCCGGAGAAGACTGATGTTGCTGGGGAGGTGGTGATGGCTCTGGGGGTTTTATGCTCGCAAACATCTTCTTAGACTCATCTATGACCTGAGAGATGATGTTCCCCGAAAGCAGATTGTGTGGCCTAATTTCACTTCTTCGAACCGGTTCAGCTCGTTCAGGCTTTGCAGGAGCTGGCTCTGGAGGAGATTCAGCCTGATTTGGCGAAAGAGATTTTTTCCGTGGGCTGCTTGCTCGAGGTATATCCGGAGATTGGATCTTCCTCCTAGGTGAGCCTAGACGAGGCTTGTCATCGTTGACACAATAGTTCGGCCTCAGAGTCCTCTTTGGCGTACGTTTCTGGGGCGAAGTCTTTTCGTGGCCGCTGTAGTCTGGGGTCCCTTCGCCAGCAGAGGAGCCTACGTCAGAACTCCACGCAGAAGAGGTCGACTTGAGAGTTTCGGGAACCCGTAATGGCCCCGGATAGACTGCAATTCCGTCATTGTCCTTGATGCCAGATGACCTTGCTGCTTTTTCCTTGGCCTCCTCATACCGTTGTAGCACATCTTTACGTCTAGTTGGGGTAGCATGTGCAGACGAGGGGGCACTGGAGCTGGGAGGAGGAGACCTGTTCCGTCGCCAGTGGGCATCGCTGACCACTCGTTTCTTAGGTGTAGTTCTAGGTGTAGACCGAGGTGTTGTCCGCGGCGTGACCTTTGTCTTGGTAGGGCTCTTCGTCTTCCGGTCAGGCTCTGGAGTAGTCTTGTCCTTGGGCGTAGTAGGCCGTTTGCTTGCCGCTGGGCTTTTATCTGGTGTTTGCTTTGGCTCCTTCACCTTAGCGGCTCCTGACGAGCTTTCGTCCTCGTCACTGCCGGCCCCAACATCTGGCGCTATCACGACCCCTCCACCGAGCTGCTGCCACTTGCGAACCTTTTCTCTCACTGTAGCTGAATCATGGGGCCCCAAAGCCTCACCGAGATCGAGAGGTTTAATCTCCTTAAACTGGGCCGGTCTCGCGCTCCCACGATTGGGGGTTCGACGGGGGGTACGAGGAGTGGGCATTTATCTATACGGCAGGTTAGAACTGACGTTAACAGTACCGTTACAATTGTGGCTGCGGGAAAGAGAGGGTGGGAGAGAGCAGCCGAGAAGTCGACTGTGGTGGGTGGTGGTGGTGATGGTGAATCTGTGGGTGGCGGGCGGATTTTTGTTTATTTACACACATACCACTTGTTGATATGGCGGACAAACGGGCTGTGCATGCCTTGATTTAAATGATGGAGTGTCCAGAGAGCGAGAGGGCGAGAGAGCGACTCCTTGATGGGAGATGGCGAGCTATTAAATGTTAGAAAAGAAGAATAACGGTCAAGGCCTGCTGGCGGCCAGGATGTTTGACCTCCGTCATGCAGTGTCGTGTTACTAACTCGTTACGCTGAGACGGGCCGGGGGGTCAGGCAGAAAGGCGGACTCACGGTAACATGCATGAGCATCGACGGCCAAACAACAAGAGAGGAGACAGAAAGGCTGCCAGGACGAGATCAGACGGCTTCGACGGTGTCAGATGGTCGCGGTTGGGGTGTTTTCGGTGTTCTGTATCTACGCATCAGTGTTTAGTTATCAAAGTCGGGGAGATGTAAACAAGCCAAGCGAGGCGCTAAGATTGAATTGTGAACTAGCAGGGGTAACTAGAGCTATGGCACATACCAACATACCTAAATAATAATAAATAAAATAATAAATGAAGAAATAAATAAAATAAAATAAAATAAAATAAAATAAAATAAAAGAAAAAAAAAAGGGGGGGAAAAAAAAAAAAAAAAAAAAAAAAAAAGGAGGAAGAAAGGAGAAAAAAATAAAACCCTAAAAGATGGTATTGTTAGTAATCCATCTTTTCTTCAGATTCCAACTTATAAACATTAGAGAAGTAGATATTTTACTTTACTGCTAATTGGCGGTGGAGGCACTCCTGGAGTGCCGTCCGGAAGGGGGTTGAAGGTCAGGGGGAGGGGGATGGTGGATCCCCACACAGCAGTAGTATATGGGGGCGGGCGGCTGCTGCTGCGTTGTTGGGAGGCTCGTCGAGACCCCTACCGGCTGGGAAGGCTCACGCTTCAACCAGCTAGATAAGTGTTAGTATAGAGATAAAATATCTTAGAGAGAAGTTAATAGTAAATAATTACCTGATAGGGATCTCGACGAGCCTCGAGTATGCCAGTGAAATGGTTAGAATGAGTAGATAAAATAACCACGCATTGAACTGGCCACATACTGTGACAATGGCTTGCGCCATCGACATCGCCGAGTTGGCGGCAGCGGCGGCGGCAGCGGCAGTTCGTTGGTGGAGGCCATTTCTTCTTCTTCTTCTCTTCTTCTTCTTCTACTTCTTCTTCTTCGTCTTCGTCGTCTTCGTTGTCGTGGTCTTCTTCTTCTTCCTCGTCGTTGTCGTTGTTGTTGTCGTCGTGGTCGTAGTCGTGGTGGTAGTCGTGGTCGTAGTCGTGGTCGTAGTCGTAGTCGTCTTCGTCGTCTTCGTCTTGGTCGGGGGAGAGAAGAAGAGAAGAAGAAGAGAAGAGAAGAGGAGGAGGAGAAAAAGACGCGGAGGACGACGTCTCCTGCCATGAGAAGGGAAGGCGCGACTACCCCTCGTGGTATTTCCTTTTTGGGACTTCGTGTCCTCCCCCGCTCAGGGCACCATGAGGCAAGTGCGATGCGGCTCTGAAGCTTTAGGCCTTCCTCTAAGGACCGAGAAGTAACAGAAAAGCAAAAGAAGGAAAAGAAGGGAAAAGGGGGAGAGCTGCATGGCAAAAGGGGGAATGAAGCCTCTATACCTCACTCTCCCCTTCTGGTAACCCCTAGGGTAAGGATGGATTTTAGCCTTAGGGGACAGACTTGGTTAAAGGTATCATATTAAGGAGTTATCAAGGGGTTATCTAGAGAGATAAGGATATCTAGGAGCAAAGAAAAGAGCTGCTCAAAGCTTCAGAGCACTGTAGTTTCCCACGGCTTTTCTTCGATAGGGTATTCCCAATTTCTAGAGTCCACAAAGTTAGGAATCTTCCTGGCATCTGATTGAACGATATGGACGAATCCCCGATTCCAAATACAACACCCACATCCAGTCGTACAGTGGGAGTATAAAACCGTCTTGTCGGGATACAGGCCTCGGGGCCGCAGACAGCATTGGCATGCTCTTGCACAGCACCCGCCTCTTGTCTTGCATTCCTCAACCAGATGGGGCTGTGAGAGGTACTTGGTTGGATTGGCAGCTAGAGCTTTATGTTTCCTCTCCTGTTGGCGTTCATATTGCCGTATAAAGGGCCCTTCCGGCTTCCTTACGCGTACGGCAAATTCCTGGTTTCTATCAATCCACTCATAGTATCGTATTTCCAGTAATTTATGTTTCCAGTCTTTGGGACCTGTGTTCCATGACTTGCTGATAACATCTAGCTTCCGCTGGATAGCATGTTCAATAGCCAGATCTTTGATAGCTAGGAATTGTTGCGTCCGAAGGATGTAATAGGCGCGTTCTTTATTCATTTCTTCAACCCACTTCAGCTGCACACGACTTTCTGGGAGAAGGAACCATCCTTTTACTGCACGAATTCTATCGGATATGCAGTCCATTCCCAGGAGGTCGAACAGCTGTTCGAAATTAAGGCCGATTCCAAGGAGCCGAAGAGTGACCCAAGACGTAGCGAGTACTAATACCATCTTTTCCCAGTCCATATTGGATATCAACCCGGATAGCGAGGAGCAATATGGGTATAAAGTTTGCAGGATATTGGATATAATGTTAGTCATGGTATTTGGGTATTATCAGATCTGTAGGACATTATGTTGAGATGGCAAGCAGCATCTCAAGCGCCTGAAGAATACAGGCCCCTTTTATAATCGCATCCATAGCCATCAGTGAATGACGCAGAAGATGTCTGCGTAAATGACGTCGTTGATTGACGATGGCCGCCAAAATTGCGTGACGGCAAAAGTAGGTTATTACTCAGCACAGTTTAAGTATATTGGGCGCACGGGACTGAGTGGCCGAGAATCTAGCGGGAATCCAGATAAAATGTGAGCGAACCGCAGGCGATGTGGATGACTAATATATCAAGGATTGCTTTCTCGTCACTTTTCTCTCGGTACGAAGTAACTGTTGCAGTGGCTTGTCCGTTGGTCACGAAGGCTTAAGAGATGAAGTAGAAGCACGCACTGCAAACACGCTCAAACAATTGGAAAATAACTACATGTGGCCGGATGCAGTCACTACAGTCAATACGCACTGCGAAGAGATGCATTGGCGAGACGGTCATGTCACTCTTCCCGGCCGTCTCTCCAGCTATGTATGGAGAAACTAGCCTGCTAAGGACCAGTCTCTAGCCCAAGATATAGCACAACTAACTCATGAGACTCCTGGATTCGGCTAAGTAGATGGCTATATATTCATAGTGGTTACAGTGAACCCGTGGGTCCGTTCGTCTCCATGTCCGGCTAACCACCGAGGCACACCTGGCCTGCCTGTCCACAGCTGATGGCACTGCTACCCCGACAGGTTCCATCAAATCAGGCCTAGATCCAGGTTCAAGTACCCGGTTTTTGCTGCAAGCAGGGAGGCACTTGACTACGGGCTGATCACAGGCCTGCAGGAGGGAGGGAAAAAAAAAAACAAGCCGGCGCTGTGGCACTAAGCGCCTTCGCTTCTCCCTGACGCTGGCTGCCGTCTCTGCCATCCAACCCAGCCCCCTTGATGCGTCCTGCTGCACCTTGCAAGCTGCGCACTTTTCGCTCCCCTCCATCCCACCAGCCCGTCTGCTGTGAGTGAGTGGCAATAACTAACGAGCCCGAAAGGCCCTCAGGGAGAGCAGTTCCTATCCAGCATCGACCCCAATACACGTTCTGCGTGCGTTCTTTTTCATTTGGTGTCCACAGAAATATGTGTCATGGAAACCCGGCAAGGCCCAGCAGGGCGAAAACGATAACTAGCTAGTTAGCTAGCTAGTTGAGAATGAGAGGTAAAAAAACTGGAGAGACACGCGTGTAGGTTCGAGCCAGCAGAGATTTTTCGTTTCCGCTCCCTCGTTGCCCTGCGAGTTCGGTGTTGATCGTGTTGGTTCCATATCAACGTCATCCCGGGCCACCACCGCCTTGACTCAGGACGCTTTCTTTGGTTCCGTGGTAGCTAGAGTGTGTCTGTACGGAGTATACTTGGAAATATATATATTTAAACGCTTATACCCTCCCGCCATCCGTCTTCTGTCCGGTTCTCTGTCGTCACTAAATCGCATTCATCTCTCTACGTGACGTTGCGGTTGTTTGCCGGCAGTTTGACTCTCCTGTCGATTGCCCCCGGCTAGTTATCTCATAGTTACCAACATCCGTCACTCTGGCTGGCTTCTTTTCTTCTGATATAAAGCCACCGAGGCAATCGCTGCTGACAGTCTTCCTGACGTAAAAGCGTCTTGTGTTTTTCTGTCAGTGTTGGCAGCCATTCTTTTCGCCCTGCCATCTGCAAGCTAGTTACAGCTGAGAAGCTCTTCCATATATCAACACTACTACTACTACTGGAATTTCACCATGGCTAAACGCTCTATCTTCGTGGCTACGCATCCTCGAGCATGCTCTACGGCCTTTGAAAGAGTAAATACTGCCGTCTCCCTCCCCTGAACGTGGTTTAACCTCTCATCCAGGTCTTCATGACCCGCCATGACACTCTAAAGTGCATCCACGAACCGCTCGGCGATGCCTTCTACTATGGCCCTGAGAGACTGAGCAAAAGATACGAGGATGATGAGGAAGCCAGAATCCAGACGGGCTTCCACGAGTCAACCTACAAGACGATCTTCGACCGCTTTGACAGAGAAGCATCAGAGGTGTGACCCTTTTTTCCCCTGCCAATTGAGAAAAGCAAACACCGTCGCGGCCGTCACTCTCTTGCTCTTCCATGCGTTCTGATGTTTCTCTTCTCATTCCTACTTTTCTCCTCCTGATGCTGCTGTTACTTTCCAAATTATATGGAACCCCCCTTATTCCTTGAGATGGATATCTAGAGGACGCTCAAATGCCCCCGTGTCAGGATATGTGTTCATATTGTGTTCTTCACTGATCCGTATGATGCCCATTTTCCTTTCGTCGATTGCTACATCCGAGAGTAGCGCACTCGAGCAAATTTGACACTGCTGTTCCTGTCTATCTCTTTTGCCCCCCGCAATGTTCCCATTCTACGGCGGTCACTCATTGGCTTCGTCAAACACGCAGCGCAAAATGCTCACCGTTACATCTAGGGGAAACGACTCTTCATCAAGGACATGGCATACTACATCATGCCACCTGATGCGCAGCCAGCAACCAGAGTAGCCTCACTTCAGATACCCAAACGTGGAATCGGCACCAACATGGACACCAACGGGGCCTCTTCTAACGGTGTGGCCAGAGCCCAGGATTCTAACACGCCACACCGTACCAACGGGAGCATCTCAGCGCCAGAAACTAACCCGGAGGCTGATAATCCTACGGTTATCCCGCAAGAGCTGCTCTCGAAGTTCCATTTCGCCTTCTTGATTCGTGATCCGCACTATAGTATCCCATCGTACTACCGCTGCACCATCCCGCCTCTAGACGATGTCACGGGATTCTATGAGTTCTACGAAAACGAATCTGGATATGACGAACTGCGCCGGTTCTTCGACTATCTCCGCAAAATCCAATTTGTTGGGCCATCCCACGCAAGTACAGTCCATACTGGAAATGCAAATGCAACCCTGAATGGGACCGCCAATGGAACCACAAATGGAACCACAAATGGAATTCATAGTGAGCCGGAGAAGGTCGAAATATGCGTGGTTGACGCAGATGATCTTCTGGACAACCCTGCAGCTGTGATCGAACGCTTCTGCAAGAGTGTTGGGGAGGAGTACACCCCTGAGATGCTCCAGTGGTCCTCAGAGAAAGACCAGAAAGTGGCTCATGACGCTTTTGCCAAATGGCATGGCTTCCACGATGATGCACTAGGTTCCAAAAGCCTACGTCCAAGAGCCCACGTAAGTCTTCCCTGGGAAACACTTAATAATCCCTCTGTGTAGCCCTGACACCCAGGGTGTTGCTATTTTTGGAACCTGTACAGCTGACACTTACTCTTCCGTCGCCAATAAGAAGAAAGCAGCCAAAACTGAAGAAGAGTTCGATGCTGAGTGGAAGGAGAAGTACGGTGAGAAAGGAGCAAAGATCATTCGCTCTGCCGTTGACCGAAACATGGCGGATTACCGCTATTTGAAGAAATTCGCCATGAAGATATAGCTCAATTATTCTCCATCCCATTCGAACCCTGCACATTACTTTGGAAAGGATCGGGAGAAAAATAGCTATGCTAAGCATCTGTGCCAAATGGTTCAACCCGCATGGTGATGTCTTAGTTCAGATGATATTATTACCAGGGCTCCTCTGTTACTTTCATTCTTCCTTTTCGGTCATTCCTACCTGCTGTCCTCTCACAATGTCTAGGCTAGCTAGACTTATCTCGGTTATCCAGCGCCCCATTTACGTAGGCTATGGTTTGATATGACGAGTTCGGGAGTGGCATTTTCGGCATAGTGTGGTACGGAATGCTGCATCGTGGTGCTTTGTTGCTATGCTGGAATATGCCCCTTTCTTTACCTAAGAGTCAAGAGACAAACAAAGTAAAGGAATTCGTGCAATCTTAGCAACGTTAGAGCGTAAGTAGTATAACGTACTGCTTCTCATACTCGTAAGCAAGGCATCAAACCGATGACTATATATCGAGAGGTGACATCAAGCTAAAACTGCATGTAGAGCAAGTTCTTCCAACGAAATAGATAAATAATAGAATAGAAGAATAGAACTATGATAATCAATGCAGGAAAAGAAAGACCACCAGCTCCCAAAGAAAAATAGAACTCATAAATTCTGAAAGGATAAATAGTCGGTGCGATCTAACAGGAAATAGGTTGAGTATGTGGGTAGAATAATGGATGGAATAAGATCGACCGGGCCCTGCTCCGTTGAAACAAGCTCAACAAGACCGTCAAGGCGGGCCGGAAATAGTACAGGGTGAAGTAGGTAGAGATATGTGTACAGCCCTCATTAAGGCCCAGGGAGGAAATAATAGTCGTGACGTATAGAGAAAATATCACACGGCACTGTAACCACCTCGGGTGCCGCCTCCTTGAAGGGTGTTAACTACCCGTCGAGCCCAATCCCTGAGGATATAGGGAATATCGCGGATCGTGTCACTGTGAGGAAGCAAGTCCCACCCGCGAGCTCCATACCGGCTGTAATTGAGCCACGAGCCGAATATCAGATAAGCCGAAGTGCACAGGAACAGGCTGTGAATGGCATCGAACGTTAGTCACTCTCTCTGACAACAAAGGTAAAGAAACTAGAACAACATACAGAACAATAACCCAGGTGAAGAATCCCCAGTGGCCGGATGGTGCGCTACCGCCGTCTTCAACGTTCTCGCAAGCGTATTTCGTCTTCCACTCCAGATCTAAGGTGCCTTCCTCCTCGTTATAGCTTTTAAAAATAAGGCTCCTCTTATTTTCTTCACCATCTCTCTTGGATTTGCCCTCCTTGTCCTTATTATCCTTTTTATCATCGTCTTTCTTTTCACCATCTTTCTTCTTATCCCCGTCCGGCTTGGGGCTTTCCAAACCTTCCAGCCCAGTTCGTTCCCGGTCACACAGCAAGGTAATCACTGCCTTTTGTCTCTTTAACAAGTTGCCGAACTTATGTTTTCCGCCGTGGAGCTCCATCTTCAGGCCTTCTGTCTTCGGATCCTCTTTCTTAAGCCGTGTGAATATAGGATCAAGTGTCCTGCCGCTGTTCAGAACGAAATTGCCAGCGATATCAATCACGTCCATGGTTCGTTCTATTCCATTTATATCCGTTGCATTCCTGACAGCGCAGACTACAATAAAAAGAATCGAGGGTTAGCGCTATACCAAACTAGCCACGGAAAACACACAAGAGGTAGACGCACCAAAAGCACCCTTTTTACACAAAGTCTTGGTTAACGGCTTGCATATGTCAAGTGTGTACGTTGTATTGTAGCCTTCATGGCTGCTGGCGGTCTCCGAGATCGAGTGAGCACCTCCAAGCTTGCCAAAATTCCACATTACTCCATCGACCTTAATATTAGAACAGTCTAGCTCGGCAGACGCTAATGAAGAAAAGACCGCAAATAAGGATAGAATCGACAGCCCCTTGTATCTCGCCATCATCGCCGCCGCCTCCGTCGTCGTCGTAGCAGGCTACAGCCCAAGCTCGGCTTTAATTCAGGACGTCACGCGGGTTGGTTGTCCCAACAGTTCCAGGTTTGCGACCGGGGTCAAAAGAGCGAGAGAGAAAAGACGGATAGATAGATCAAAAGAGAAGCTCTAGAGAGGGCTTGAGAGCGGCTTCGTCGTGGAAATGTGCAGTTTCTCTGCCAATGTGGATGCTAAAGCTGTAAACTGCTTGCAAGCTGGACTTTCGCAGCGTTGCATCATAACTAAACATTCCCCTTCAGGTCGCGTCACGTGATACTGCTATTGGGACCTGGCAGCAGAGAGAAGCAGCAGGTACAGAAAGCTAGCATGTATAATATAAAGAGGAAGATGTATTATATTGGACAGATAGGCATGTAAAAAGGCTTCAAACATTTGGTTTCTTGATATCCGGTATTCCTGTCAACTCTACTTGCAAACCGCCTGAGCGGCGGGCTTGTATCCATAGAAATTTCCGTGGGTGCTCGCTAAACGCATCATCGTTAACTGTGTTATTCCCTAGACATATCCGGGCGTCTCTTGGGTGTAGTTTATGCTTGTGCTGATAGTTATTTGCATGGGGCTCGTTGTTCGTTAAATCAAATATCAAAATTCGCATCGGTTGTGCCTCCATTTGATAAATCTCCAACAACATCAACACCTTCCACACTGTATAATTAATATATTTCCCAACAACGCCCAGCCGACAGGCTATAGATATACCAGATATTGACAGGAGACCTTTCTAATTATACGAACCCCAGAGGTCAGGATGTTTCAACGTCGGATGGTAAGAATATACCCCCGACGCGCCCTCCATATTGGCTTCTGCTGACGGGCATGTTAGCTCTCGAAGGACGATGAAGCCACCAGTAGCGAAGAGACTGAGGTCCGTCGTGAAGATCAAGAAAAGATAAATCGTTTCAGTCGACTACATCAAAGAGAGGCCGTGTTGGAAGCACAGCTCAAGGCAAAACTGGTACGTATTCTGGCACCGAGGAAGATACTACGGTGTTAAGAACGAATACGGCACGCTTGTGTCTCAAGCCTTGATATCTCTACAGCTGGTTTTTCAGACTTATGCTACAATGAGCTCTTTATCGATTTAAACCCCGCGCTACATATTATGATGGACTATTATGACGAATGAGGGGCTAACAAACACCACAGAAAGACAAGGAAGATCTTGAGGAAGTTTCCGCTGAACTTGACCTCGCCGACGAGGATGTTCCAGTCCCGTAAGTAATACCTCAGTCTGAATATTGCTTGAATGTGCAAAAATTTTTATTATAAGCCGTACTAACTTGGAGTAGGTACAAAATTGGTGACTCTTTCATGTCACTTCCCCTATCGGAGGCACAAGAAATGCTAGCTGCTTCGACTGAGAAAATTGACAACGAAGTCTCTGACCTAGAGGAGAAGTTGGGAGCACTAAAGGAGGAAGCACAGCAATTGAAAATTGCTCTCTATGCACGATTCGGAAAAAGTATTAACTTGGAGACTTGAAAGAAAAAAAAATGAGTGGTGTTATATAGATCCATAGCACAGCATAGGCATTGCTTCAATTGAACAAAGTACACTGGACAACGACCGCCGAATAGAAGTGAAAACATGATCATTGAGATCTTCTTATTATTAAAAAAGAATATTCTAGTAAACAAAGTCCAGTTGTAAATGGGTATCATATGTACATTCGTTATTTCATGTCACCCCATCTTCTCTGTGCCTTTTCGTATCCCATGGCATAAGTAAAGTGTAGCGACAGTGGTGGCATTGTTCTCAGCATTGATGCTAAATGCCCAAGCCATGGCTGGATTGCTGTGGCACGAGAGATGAAGAATCGATGCTATATCTCGGTCGAGTGGCGGTTTCAGAACACTCCATTCTCATATAATATTCGCGATTGTCATCTTGGAGATGTTGCTCTTTTGACATGGGCTGGAGGCCGTCTCGGGAGAGCGGCAAGAGGCGTTAACGCCATTAGGGACTGGGCGATCAAGACGGGGATTGTCTAGACCGTTAGGAGAAATAGCAGTGTTCTGCTGTTGCTGCTCAGCTAACAAGCGCTGCGTTACCATCTCAACCCAGCCCCATCCTTCCCATTCTTGTGCTTGGTCATCAGTTTCGGCACCGTCTGCTCGAGCGGTGTCCGCAGACTCCGTCTTTAATGGTGGGCTCGATGTGACTAGCGTGCTAGATGGTGGCTTGGCCCCTATATCTAAGGACGGGTTGGAGCAGGTTGACCTCCAGACCCATGAGGTATCCATGGAACTTTGCAGATCGCCCGACACGTAGGCCATAAGTTCCTCATCATCCACAAAGTTGAAGGAGCCTTCTTTCTGCTGCTTTTCAAGTAGAAACTTCAAGAAGAAAGTGATGTACCGGCCCGAAGCAATGTTCACTGCTCTAGCATCTCCGATTGCAGAACAGGCTTGTATGCATACTAGTGCAGCAGCATAATCGGCTCTGCATAACAGTAGCAGAATGCATCGCCAAATATGCTTGCAAATCACGGAAGTGGCGGCTGCAGCTAATAAATAGCGCCAGTCATCGCCGTTGACTTTTGAGGGAGCTCCAGGTTCTCCAGAGGTTGGCGAGCGCATGCATCTGGTCAAAATCCCGGTGGTATCGCGAGCAACTGCCAAACAATGATCCATGGCGATATTCCGGATCTCCGGTGGACATCCGGGAGAGAGGTTATGGCGGTGTAGAACTAACCTGGTGTTCTGGAGAATAATAACAGGGGAAAGCGATCGTGGATCCAAGTATTGATTTGACTGCATGTGATAATCCGCCGGGAAGCTGTTTAAACAAGCCCGGAAATGCCGATCAAATAGCTCCAGGGTATCACTCGATATAACCAAACTTTTGAGAGCTTTCGTAAGTTGCGAAACGCAGCGCATTATGTGGACTATAACGAGTAAGGGGTTTGATTTCTGATCTGGGGCCGGAGTCCCTTCTTGGATAAGTTGCTCTTCGATTGAGGATGGAAGTGAAATATCACAGTCCTCGTCAATAATTGCGAGTGGGCGGCCAAGTTCTAAAGCACTCAATCTATTAACCGCTTGTTAGCAACTCTATCCAAGGAGAAGACAAGATAACATAGAAGTTGTGCGTGAACTAACCTCTCCCACGAGTAAATGGACCACCATACGCGTTTCCGCATTTCACCATCCATCGGTTCCCATGGGCCTGACTCCATGTGGAAACCAAGGTCCTGAGCAATCCGTACTGCCGCACCAAGCCATACCCAGCTGACAGAGTTGATGTTTAGTTCAGACAAGTAGATGCTCACTAGCATTGCGCCGCGAGCTTGCTCAATCGAGAACGTATTTTGCCAAAGGTCGATCAAGCCCATACTGGTTTTGATATATTCCTTACCTTTGGCAATTAAGTCTCGATCAAGGGAATGCAGAGACCCACAGCCCAACAGGGCAAAAAAGACAGCAGCCCAACCCCTCGAGACACCTTGTAGGGTCCCTGTCTGATGGACTCTCTCGTAAACATGTAAAATGGTAGGCCAGTGGAGAACTGGGTACAGACAATGGACACAAGAGAAATAATGTCGCATCAAAACATGTGCGATATTTGTTGGCGGAAGCGGGGGCACATCTGCATCCAGAACAGGCTGCGGTCGTAGAAAATACGGGGTTTGCGGGAAATGAAGAAGGCCGTCTCCATAGACTCGCATTTTCGAGCATACTCGAGAGAAGTCATAATTAACGTTTGGGGTGTGAAGGCGAGCAGGTTGAGAGCCTATCTCTGGAATTGCCGGCATATCTTCGTTCATATCGGAATCGGATCCCATGAGACTGGCAGCTTTTGGTGCACCAGAGCGCAACTGTTGCAGTTGAAGCTTCGCCTGAGCGAGCTGCCTCTCAAGATCTTGAACTTGCCTTGGATTATGTTAGAGAAAAAAACGAAGATCGAGCGTAGCAGTTATAATGGTGACCAACTTGATAGATGACATGCGTCGGTTCGTCTCCTTTGTAAAAAGACATCTGACATTGCGGTTGGAACACTCCGTACAACTCGACGAGTCTGAAGCATCGCACTGTTAAGATTATCAGTATATGCTCAGCTAGCTGTACGGGTAACAAAGGTCGGGTACACATACCTTTACTTTCCTTTCGCGACATGCATCACAACTAGGATCCTTCCGTCGCTGTCTATATGCGCGCTTGTGCGATTGCTGAGGAACGGCAGGAGAAATGTGGCTTGCAGAGCTGGAAGCATCCGAAATCGAGCCATTATGGAGGGGGCTAAGCAACAAGCCAGGTCTCTCTCCATGTTGCATCTGCGAGTAATCATATTGCGGATGATATGCATTGCCCATAGACATATGCTGGTTATGCGGAGCTGAAGTGTAGAGAAGGTTGGATATCTTGAGTCCATTGCCTGGCGGGCCGCGGTGAGGTGCAGAGCCACAGCCAGGTTCTGACGGTGGTCGCGGAGCAGTCGTTGATGTAGAGCTGATAGACGAGACAGGTGACGAAGCATAATAGCCACTCTGCTGACTCCTAGGAGGCGGGGGAGGGTATTGTTGTCTCTGCATTCTGAAAAAGACTTTCTCTCAGGCTTGAATGCAGGAATCACAAGTGTCAGCTGAATGTTGGGCTCTGGACGTGTGAGCAAGAGCCTTGTCGCATTCCGTCTATTCTGGCCAAAATCTCATTCACAAGCCTCGAATGGTGACAGCCATTCGCATCCAGGTTATTCTTCTATTGATGTAACTGGAAATGTATGCCTGTTCTGGATGAGTAGATCGTGATGTTCCAATGGGTGTTTGTTCCGGGGCGGGAAAAAAAAAAGCAGACAAGGTACAAGGAGCGGCTTTATTGCCGACCAGGAATATGAGCCTAGCTATATATAATGGCCGAGCTGGAGTCAATTCGCGGGGTTCAAAGGTCTCTTCATAGTTAAGTATCGGATGATGTTTCCAGCTTGCTGCCAATGCTACCCCCACAGGAAGAAATCTTCCGACAAGCTGGAAAGGAGTGCCGAGGATGAGAAATAACTAAATGAGTAAATCGTAGATCTCACGAGATACCTGTCGTGTGTGGCTCGTGGATATGTATATTATTATTAAAGACCCCCCGTACCTGATCTTGAAACTCAAAGAAGGAACTTCGACCAGCAGTATAGAAGTTTTCTTTTCTTTTCTCTCTCGGGCCAAGGGAGCAAAAGAGGATTCGACAGCTCCTGTTCCGTGTCTCACGGACAGGCGGTGGTGGGAACTTGCGAGAGAAGAACCCCGGAGCTGATAGTTATAGCGCCCAACAGTGGACTCGGGCCAGGGAGAAAAGGGAAAGGAAAAAGGAAAAAGGAAAAAAGCTGGGGTTGAGAATCGAAGGCGGTTGGTGTCGATTAAAACCTGGGACAATCTGCTGTTACATACTCCGTTAATTCCTGCACATGCGGCTGTCAGTTCCACAGGCCGAAGGCAAAAGGAGGCGGACGGCTAGACTGCGAGGAATCCCAACTCTATTGTTTTTTTGCAAAGGCTGAAGGGGAGGAGCAGGAAAATGCGCTTTGAACCTCGTATTATCACCACCAGCTTGAAACGACTTCACAGCTCCAGAGTGGCATTTTCTTGATAGGAGTCAGACCACGGGCTCCCAGTTCCTCGCTTGGGTTCTGCGCCTGGGCTCTCACTCACACGCAAATAGTGGTGTCCCTACCAAGCGATAAGGATTCGTTAGTAAGAAGAATTGGATAATTGCAGGGAGGAAAAGTGTAACTAAAAGTAAAAAAAAAGGCAACTTGCCGCAACCACAACGAGACCAGAACGAGAGAGAGAGAGAGAGAGAGAGGTACTTGCATGTACGAGCCAGGATGCTCTTCGCTTGGGCCCGAGGTTCGATGTCACGGAAGCGTCCTGGTTCGCCCCTAAAGTCCCGCCCGTCCTTCAACTTCGCACATCCAGCCTGAGCCGAAATTAAGTAGAGCGCCCGCCAAGCTGAGCGTCACCCAAGGGGCAGCGCCGGGTCGGATTGGCCAGCTGCAAAGGTAGTTCCCGTCTCCACGCTCTGGACGCTGGAGTTGCGACAGTGAAACCACATGGAAACACTGGGTGTGGTGTGCCCAACCGTTTTGTGCTTGTCGGAATTTTGGCCCTGCCCTGCTGCTGCTGCGCCTGCGCTGATGGAGGGTGTTCAGATCGTCCGGCCGTCAGCGCCATGCAGGAGGGATCATCCAGTAGCGAGCAGCGAGGAAGCTTCTGTCACCCCTCAAGTCTCAGTCTCAACTGAGGAACCTTTGGAGCTCCTTCGCCGGCTGGGACTGGCCATTGCCGAACGTACCGAACTTCGCAGAAGGCCACCAACTCTCCGCGAAGCTAGCTCCTCTCACTAACTCTGGTAACTAGTTAGTTGGTTGCCGGTTAGCTAGCTGGGCTCTAAGAATCATATCTTGACCGATTTCGAACGTCGTCTCTTGACCAGTGCGGGTTTCAGTTTCGGTTTCCCTTTGCGAGGTCGCGGAGCTTCTTCAGACATGGCTCTTCTCAAGCCCACCGAGCTGTCGTTTCCGCTGCCAAAGTCGCCACACGTCAACCTCCATATCCATCTTACGTGCCTCGCTACCTCGACTCTCGTCTTCCTGACGACAACCTCGATCGGCGACTCAAATGTTGCCCGGCCCATGGGCAGCTTCGTCTATGCCATGCCAGATGTATGAACCACTCTTTCTCTCCTCTCCCCTCCTGCTTTCTTTTTCGTCCCGGGCACGCCTTGCTTGTTTTGAAATTGCCATCCCCGTATCAATTATACGACATCCAATACCCAAGCTCAAATGTATGAGACAAAAATCCCCTTTCGTGTGACAAGGGGGGGAGGTAGGCAGCAAGGCTGTGGACGCCTCAATACCTTGCTACATTTCTCCCCATTCTCCAATATCGAACAGGTACAAAAATTGGAAACTCTTGATTGTCTTGTCACCCTTCATTCCAGATGCCTTGCTCTCAATTATTGCCCAATTCCAAAATGTATCGTCCAAGCATACAATATAAAAAAGAAAAGAGAAAGAGAAAACTAACAAACTCCCCTCCCGATCTTCCGATCCCGTTCTGCTGTATCTGAACACACAGAACTCAAACGAAAAATCTACAATCTGCTCAACTCTCTATTCGTCCCCAGCTAGTGTAGATTATGCAACACGCACGGCCCGGATTCTGGCTCGTCGGATGAAGATGCCCGTCTATGTTGGCTGCAGCGCCGATTTTTCCGGGATGATGGTCGAGGAGGAAACTGAGGGGTTGACGAAGGTTGTCAATACTATCATGGCGGAGTGGGAAAAGCAACGACAGCCCTAAGGCGCAGGAGGATCCCTTTCAAGCAAACAAATATCATTTGCTTTGGCAGGATTAAACGAGTGTGATGCCCATTTCTTTCTTCTCCTGTTCCTCTTTTGTCCTTCATTTGTCACATATGATTCCTTTTTAATTTCATTTTTGCCTTGAGTTTCTCCAAGGCCCAGATCCGGTATTGCTTCTTATGGAAGAAAATTCTCTTTTGAAGCATGACGGTCTTTCTGTTTTCGTCATGAACTGGTTGGTCCATGCTGCTGTACTACACAGGATGAACCAGACATATCCTGCATCTCCGGGATATCACGGCCAGGAAGGTGAAAAAGCAAAACAAGCCAAGGAGCGGGAGGGAAGGGAGTGGGAAAAAAAAAGAATTAGCTACCTTGATGATGAGATATTACCCTTCCAGATATCGTCCCCCTTGGGTACCGAGATTTGGATTGTGATAAAGGAGCTCACATCACTCTTTTGGGTAGGGTATATATGAGTATGGACTACTCCGTACAGAGTACATATTGTATAGACGGAACATGCATGAAGGAACGGACAGCTAAGCCGATGTCGCCGACCTCAACGGCGAAGCCAAAAGAATACCACGCGGTGCTGCCGTCTAACCCTATTCTCGAGATGCGAGTATCAACTCAAGAAGCCTGTCTCAGAACATATTATTGAAAAAAAAAAAAATATGAACTGTCTCACCGCGATCAACAGGCCTCTTGGTACTCCGTACCGCATGTAGGAAAAGGATTAAACACAACTAGGCAAAGAGCATACTTACAAGCCGGGAACACAACGCTGGCGCTGATGCAGGTTGAGCCATGGCCACGGGCTCCGTGTTGTTGGGCGGGCATGCGGCTGTTTGTTTGTATGTAACAATATCCCACAGCGGAAATTCAGCCGTCCTTGCCCTTTGCGCGATCGGGTCCAGGAAACAAGGTGTCAAATGACACGGTAGGTTCAAGGTGATACTCAGGGTGCTCTTGCTACGGTGCCGGCGAGCATCTCCCAAATCAACAAATGACCCCTATACACCCCTTCGCCTCTATATAGCCATCGGCTGGGGCAATGCTTTTTCGTGATTCCTCTGGCAATGATACTCCCGGCGATAGGGAAAACATGCATGGATATCGCTCGTATATGTTGGTCTTCCATTCAACCGACAAACAGGTACCACATCTCGCCACGAGAGAGTATATATTGGTTACCCGCAGTAATATCCGTGTTAATTTGAGTCATGTTAGCGTTGGATGTCTAGGAAACTCCGTGTCTTTTTGCAGATCCTTCAAGAATGCCCAACATCCTAAAGAGGTTGTCCGTTGCTTTTTTCCCCCCTCATTGTTCTGTGATACTCCGTACTTATATATTTATCATTCTGCTCTGTGCACGATAGTCCAGTCTATTGGGCTGTTGTCTCAGAAGTGGCTTATCGGGCGGATGCCTTCCGCGTTAGCTAACTAGTTAGTTAACTCATTATTTAATATTGCAAATTGTTAATCGTGCAATTTTGAGTCGAGTTCTGCGATTGAGGCTTTGATCGCCATTTTGGAGGATGCCGATAAAGCTGAAGAAAGGCTCCACGCATGAAAAAAAGGCTGTTAAAATAACGCATCTCGAATGGACAGGATGTACGGAGTACGTATACTGTGCAACAACGGACGTTAATAATATATGGGTGGGTCAACACGGAGAGAGCTAAATCAACCTTTTTGGGGAGGCTGGAAGGTTATCCAAGGGAGAAAAGACAAGTCGGAATCTGGGATCTGGGATTCTTAGTTACGGTTAGATGCCGAATGGTCTAACCATAGTTACGGGGTTCTGCAAAAAGTAAGCGCTGGGCACACGGAGTTCATCTTCAATGCTCCGTAAAACGATCCTCTGCTCCGGGAAGCCAGCAGGGCCATGTCTCGAGCAATGCTAGCAGCATATATATATATCATATATGGGCAAGGGTTAGGAGTTGCTTATGCGGGTTCTCGATAGTGCCCAACCACCATCTTATTAAATAATGAGGTGAGGACGAATTCACATGGGGAGGGGCTGCAGAGGAGACGGGGCCACGATATTAATTATGTACCCGTATATGCATGGAAGGGCATGTGTACGAAATCCAAGTGTCGCCATCCTGGTGATGGTCCATCGTCTCATCGCTCGCAAATTGTAAACAGGGTACTCCGGAGAAGGGACATTGGTTCAACAAGGTTTCCATTTCTTACATACCATTTATTCCACAGGCCTCGTTCTTCTTCCAGAGTTGGTTCCTGGAAGCGTTTAGATTGGAATTTCGACGCCGGATAACTCGTTAGCTGAGCACGGGCCTCGAGGGCGGGAAGTCTTTTTCACGCCACTTCACACGACAATAGCAGAGCAAGGCCTTGACCAGTCCCTGGTTCAGCACAAGGGAGTTACACATGTGAGACGAGAGACTCTGGTTGTCCTTCGTATACGGAGTATGAGTCCGTCATCACCTGGTACATGGGCCGTCTCCTCGGATCTCCTTTTGCGACCGTTATTCACTAACTAACTAGTTATCCGCCAAGACTGGGCCTCACACCGCAGTTCTATGTGTACTTGATTGGAGAAAAAGCTAAGTACCTGACGATGCTTTGTTTTCGATCCAATGTATTTTCCGAAGCGGGGAGGAGTAGAAACGCTCAACCTCGTGTCGGAAATGTTGGCGAGGAATGGAAAATGCTTCTCGGAGCGTAACCGAAGATGCGCCAAGATGGAAGTGATGACTGTGGTGGCAACCAGGTCTGTCAAACCTTTCCCCAGGCCCCGGGGCAAAGTTTGTTGGATGGTGGGTACTGGCTTCCCCTCCAGTCGCAGGGTGTGTTAAAAATTTATCAAGAGATTCGTTTTTTTATTCGGAAGAGGTTGCATATTGACATCATGCACGTATCCAATATACGTAAGCATGTAATAGGGCAGCCGAGGAGCGAACATGGGCTTGGACCTTGCGATCGGTTAAAAAGGGGAATTTTCCATCATCGCCAATTTCCATTTTAGCCGGCTCTTCGATCTCGTTAGGCCCTTGTCGCGCAATCTTCCTTCTTCCCCTTCCATGGGCCACAAACTTTGAGTTGTGGAGGGGTGGTAAGCGTCAACTAACTCGGAATGGAGGACGGGCCGCATCCAATAGCAGCGTATGAGGCAGTTGACAAACGAATGCGGTCACCAGTCTGATGTACCATACCGGCAATAAGGAGCCTCCAATTGGACGGGACAGCCGGCCAGACTCCAGGACGACTGATTTTCTTCACGGCTTGTTTCATCAGGCACGGAGCTTTGCCAGAATTTTGCTAGCCTCTGTTTGTTCCGTGGAACCGTCAGAAGCGGCTTCGACGGAAGCATTCAAAAGGCAAGCAAAGTAGATAGGTACTACTTAAATAGCATTTCAATCAGTTGACGCTATCTTCATGAAACGGTGCGATGTGATAACTAGTCCTCTAGTCTGTTGGTTAGCGAGCCCTGCTGCCGATCTTATTAATGGCTTTCAACCCACCACGGTGTTTAATTAGTGATTAAAACGGTGCTAGAACAGGAGAATGCCACTCGTCTTCGCCCTAATCATCCGGGTATCTCTCCCCGAGTCGGTGATGCTGCTGAGAAGCTCGCGTTGCTGGAGTTGATGCCCGGGTTTGAAGTCTGAAGGTTGCAAGTCGAAGAGACAGAGTCGAAGGGGTGACGTCTGGTATTTCCCCTTTCGGCCGTCATGTGAGCGACTTCAGCTTCAGCCCGACGACGCCCATTATTTGATAACTCGTTAGCGTCGTGGATTTGATACATTCTCTGTACCTTCGGCGGAACTTCTAGAATACGCTTTCGAAGGCTGAAGCTGATGGCAGAGCCCGTAGGGCCTTGATCCTGGATCTTGGCCCGGCTACTATCCGACTGAGCAGGGGACCAGGTGCGAATATTATTATATTCCACCCGGCGTCCAAAAATCCCAGGCTCAGCTTGAACTCACGTCAAATCTGCATAACGGTGTCAGTAAGGAGATGCAGGTTGTCTGCTCCACTCTCACCAGTCACCACCATCTAAAGCCCTCCGACTTCGCAGAGCAGCCATCTGGCTCACTCCTCGATGCGAATATACCCAACAGCTGTGGATGTTGTCTGCCCTTCAATCACCCGGCGTAATTTCTTGGTTTGGAGGTGATATATGCAGTCGCCATTTTGCCAAACCATGTTTCTTCCCTTCACCCTCCATCGGCCGATAGAACTCCTTCCGCCCTCAATATTCTCATTACCCACACTCTGGATTCCTCCTACCAACGTCTGCCAAAAGGCCAGTAGGATCGTTTGGCCTGAATGGCTGTCAACGTAACATGAATCGATTGGAATAAGTGGACTTGCTGGTAGCAAGCACCTCCTAGGGCCGCTGCTCATCTCAGAGACAAGCCAAACATGGTGAGTCCACCCGGCGGCCCCTTTGGGGAGGATCCGGATCTACGAGATCTCCTCTCCTTTTGGCCAGTGTTTTGAAATGAAGAATAAGGGGATGTGATCTTGATTCACCGCCCCGAGCAATTGATCGTATGACACCTATGTTATATTTAGTCTGCCCTTCTATCTTCTTGGAACTCTGGGTCACATTGAGCCAAGACCAAAATATATGGACCGTGGATTTTAGGCGTGAAGTAGGACTTCACGAGTGTACGAAGCTTCATGACTGTTTTCCTTGGAAAACCGTGGCCCCATTTGAGACCGGGTATCCTGCTTTGAACATCGGCACTGGTTGTGAGATGCGAACATCCGCCAATTTCTGCATCTGTGGCAGTTACCCCTGTCTCTTGGTATCCCAATCTGTGCACTCAGCGAGCAGCTAGGGGTATATTTTTTTAGCGGAAATTTGAGAATCTGGTTTCCGACACATACTTCCAACCAGTGTGTGAAGCGGCCATTCTTTCCCTTATTATTTACCGTAGCAAATGCAATATATCTATCCGAGCCAAGAGGTCTGTCTGTTAGAAGTTAGAGTGTTCGCCTCGTGAGTGCTGGAGGCAGTGTACTGTTAGCTATACCATATGATGGGATATACAAAGAAATAATTAACCAGCGTAACTACTTGGTCATACCAAGCGAGAGTAGCCCTTGGAAGGTTGCAACGGGAATATTCACCATCAAACATGTAGCTAGTTCAATATTATGCCAATCTAAGGAAATATGCAACTCGAAAAATATTGCATAGTTGATCATTAGAGAATCTACTCTAACATTTCATAAGTTGCACGTAAGTAGTAAGATATGCAATCTATGTTGAAAGTACCTCACAGTGAAAAGAATAGACGGTTAGGCTAACAGCACCCACCCTATCCTGTACCTTTACATGTCGGCTACAGCTGGTAGAACAGTGCAACAGTCGGCTCAAAAAAATTAATTCGAGGTAGAGACTTTGGATATAAGTTCCGTAGATGTTCAGCTTCGCAATGTGAGTCAAAAGAAGGTGACATATTGTGAGCTTTTCGGGATCATCCTAGGTATCAACCAGGAGGGTTCCGGATCAGAGACCTGTGAGGTTGATCATCATGTTAGCATGCTGCTATAAAGGGGAAGCCAGAATTATCAAGGTAATTAGTTACCGTCGCTAGATACCTGAGTTTTATATAGCCAAAGTATTGTCGTAGTGCTGCCAATATCTGTAATCTTGACATCCGGTTTTATCGCTTGTCTTTGGGTAGTTGGTTGGAAAGTGATATATCAAACCCCCCAGCCTATATACACCGCTACTAAAAAGTTTTTAACTAGCAATATAACGAGTCAAACTAGTTAACTAGTCAACCAATTATAACTAGTTAACGTTAGCTCGTTAATAATGGTATTGAATAAATTAGTTCATTGGTTGGTTTAGTTATTAGATGGCCCAGCCAGTTACACCTCTAGCCAAGGGACATCGACAGGTGGGATGGTCAAACTCAAGGAATAGAACTGCCAGAATGGATAAGGAGGACCAACCAGAGCAGCAGCAGCAGCAAAGAAGAGAAGACGAAGAAGAAGGGGAAGAAGAATGGAGTGGTGCATTTGACCCGTTTGCTGACCCAGAGGAGCGGAGGGTACTGTTTGCCTCTCTGGACTCCTTCAGGTAGGCATTCTTACTTGGAATTGACAGCCTGTGTATAATTGCTAATGCTACAGATAGACAATACCGCCGCTCTGCGCATCGGAACGTCACTCATAGACGGCGGCAGTCGTTCTACGCTCTACCCTCGCTGCACTGGAAAACCCTTGCCGCGCCACCCTTTAACCTGCTCGAGACATTCAACAAGGTGGACGACGCCATTGATGCCAATGCAGAGGTAGCTGAGGCCATCCTCGACTCTGCCCTGGAGGCATTTCAGCTTCCCCGGCACCCCCAGGCTGAGGACAGCGCAAAGGAAGGCCATGGCAGAGACGTATCATGGCATGACACAGCTACTTCATCAGACGTGAGCAAGGCCAACTCTACGATCCGCCAGCTATACCGGGACTGGAGTGAGGGGGGTGCTGTAGAAAGAGAGACATGCTACGGCCCTGTCATGCGAGACTTGCAAGATGAGTTTGGAGAGATGCCTGCGCAGGGCACCAGGGTGTTGATTCCGGGGGCTGGGCTAGGTAGGCTGGTTTTTGACGTTGCAATGGCCGGTTTCGATGCAGAAGGGAATGAGATCTCGTACCATCAGCTGGTGACAAGTAGTTGGGTGCTGAACCGGACTAAACGCAAGGAAGAGTGCGCTATATACCCTTTTGTGCTGCATTTTTCGAACCTGCGGACTCGTCAGCAACAGTTCAAGAAGGTCCTTGTACCGGATGTTCATCCTGGATCCGCAGTCAGAGGATACGAGGCTGACGCTGAAGGCAAGGAAGACAGCCGGAAGGAGACGAGGAAGATGACGGGATCGATGAGCATGACAGCTGCAGATTTTCTGTTACTGTACAATGAGGAGTCGAACAGAGAGGCCTTCCACGCCGTGGCTACGGTGTTCTTCATTGACACTGCGCCAAATCTGATACGGTACATCCAGACGGTGCACCACTGTCTACGGCCGGGAGGCATCTGGAGCAATGTTGGCCCGCTACTGTGGCATTTTGAGGACAGACCAGCTCCGTCTGCTACTACTACTACTGCTGCTGCTGCTGCTGGTGATAGTGGAAAGGTGACAGAGGACGCAGCCGCTTCTGCCCATGCCCCGGGTGACGATGATCTCGAGAGGGAGTATAGACATGGTCACAGCCACAACCATAGCCATAGCCATAGCCACCATAGCCGAGGGCACGGTCAGGGAGAGGGAATAGCAGACCCTGGAGTTGTAGAACTGTCGCAGGATGAAGTCCTGGCGCTGATAGAGAGGATGGGCTTTGCCGTCGAGAAGGTCGAGGAGGACATAGGGGGCTGCGGCTACATCCAGGACCCCGACAGCATGCTCTTCAACACCTACAAACCGGTGCATTGGGTTGTTAGAAAGAAATGACCAGTTTTGTCTCCTCGAAATCAACATCTTCAATGACTTCTTCTTCATCCTCCCTGCATCGATATAAAATCCATCTACTCCGTAGATCGACCGTCTTTTCTTCTCTTTATATATAGTGTGTATATGGAAATAGAAATACCAAAAATACCGTATATAGACAACCAAGCGGCCCGCGCAACTCCGTAATACCAATACGCAACACCCCCAAAAAGCCGCGATGCGCCAAAATCGACGTCGACTTCAGCTTCAACTTCGTCCCTTTTTAGACAGCGTTTTCACTCTCTCTTTCGGCTCTGCTGTCTCTTCCTGCTCGCTGCGGCTGTGTCTTCCTCCAAGATCCTTACGACGACGACGACGCCGCCGCCCGGCGCAGCTCACTGGCCGTTAGAGAACCCCACCACCAAGTCCTGCAGCGCAGCCTCGTTGCGCCCTCAGCCCCCCGGTCAGAAGCGTTTGTTGCTTTGCTCTGCGTCGACTCGACCCTTTTTCCTCCCTCGTTCTCTTTGCTCTGCTCCCTCTCGCTTCTCTCAGCCTCGAACGGAATAAGAGAAAAGGAAAAAAAGTACCAGGGAGAAGAAGAACCCCCAGCCGTTGCTGTGCTTGCTGCCAATATACTCTCCTTGGGCGCTTCTTTTAGCCCTGTACACCCCGTATTGCTCCCCTCCGCCCTCTCTCTTCCTCTCCCTCTCCCTCTCTTCCTTTTATCCTCTTCTTCTCTTCTTCTCTTCTTCTTCTCTTCCCCCTCTTCTCCCTCTTCCTCTCCTCCCTCTCATCTACTCGACACCCCCGTTTTATGGATCTCATGAGCTCTCGATTCAAGCTCGGTTTTGGAAACAAGCGCAAGAGTGGCTCCTCTCTCGCTCCTACAACCACCGCGACCAACACCCCCCCAAACGGGTCACCCTCGCAGCCCTCGCCGCCGCCAGGCAACACCTCCAACCCAAACGCCTCGTCCGCCAGTCTCCCCATGAACCCGCAGAACCATCTCGGCCGCCCGCCCAGCTACACATACGCTCCCGGCGCCCCCAGGCCCGCCAGCCCGCTCCCGCCTGGCGGCCAGCATCACCCGCAGCAGCTCGCCCACCATCCGCCGCCGCTGAACACGGGCGTGGGTGTGCCATACCCTACCGGAGGCGGCATGTCCTCTGCTCCTCCGCCGCCAGGGTATGGTGGCTACCCGCCTCAGTCGACCGGCCAGGGACATGGCATCCCACAGCCCCTCGCGCCATTTCGCGGCCATACCGGGGAGCTCGACAACCAGGCGCGCAGCAAGGCCCAGCTGATTGTCGGTATTGATTTTGGAACCACTTTCTCCGGTGTTGCTTATGCCTTTGCTACCAATACCGAGGCCAGGGAGGACATTATCACTGAGTGGCCTGGCGCTGGCACACATACCAAACAAAAGGTTCGTTTATAGAGGCCTCTTATCTATAACTATCAAAATAAACAAATATTGACATTAACTTTTTGTTTGCATAGATACCTACCGTTCTATACTATGACCAGTATCAAAAAGTCGTAGGATGGGGCCCTGATATCGCGGATGCACTCGCTCCCACCGGATACCCCAAAGCAGGCGTACAGAAGGTCGAATGGTTCAAGCTACAGCTCATGTCCTCTGGTGGAAACACCTATATAGACCCCATAAACCTACCCCCGTTACCGCCAGGCAAATCTGAGATAGATGTGGCCGCAGACTACCTCTTCCATCTACGCGGGGCCATGCGCAACCAGCTCCAGAAGACTCTGGGTGAAGTTTTCAACCGTGAAGAACGCAACATCCGCTACTTCTTGACCGTCCCCGCCATCTGGAACGACGCTGGAAAGGCTGCTACCCGTGCGGCTGCCATACAGGCTGGCTTTCTGCGCGATGAAAATGACAATCGTCTCACCTTGATCACCGAGCCAGAGGCCGCGGCCATGTTCTGTGCAAAGACAGGTTTACTCAATCTCAAAATCCATGATGCCATTCTCATCGTTGATTGTGGTGGTGGTACAGTCGATCTCATCGCCTACGAAGTCGATGAGGAGACCCCTTTCAGCGTCTGCGAGTGTACGGCTGGATCCGGCGACAGCTGCGGTTCTACCGCGCTCAACCGTAACTTCAGCAACATCCTGCGCGCAAAGATCCGAAAGATGAAGCTGCCAGATGGATCACGTACGGCCGGGAAGGTATATGCCAAATGCATAATGGACTTCGAGAACAGAATCAAAGCCGATTTCAGAAATAACGGACAGAAGTGGGCCGTGGATGTTGGTATCGAGGCTGATTTCCCTGAAGCCGGCATCGAAGAAGGCTACATGACTTTCACCAATGAAGAGATTCTGCAGTGTTTTGAGCCCGTTGTCAATCGCATTTTGGAGCTGGTCAGGAACCAGATCATTGCCATTCAGGCACAGAACAGACCACTACAGGTAAGTCCTCCCCAACGCCATCACTGTTCAATCCTATATTAATAGTGTAGAATGTCCTTGTTGTCGGTGGATTCGGTGCATCAGAGTATCTTTTCCAACAGATAAAACTCCACGTCCCTCCACAGTATCAGTCCAAGGTCGTCCGCCCCATGGATTCCGTCGCCGCTATCGTAAAGGGTGCAGTAACCGCCGGTATCACAGAGCGTGTCGTTACCTCCCGCGTGGCTCGTAGACACTATCTGATGGCCACCCTGCAGCCCTTCAAGGAGGGTCACCACCCTGAACAATACCGTGTCCCGTCTCTCGATGGCAAGGATAGATGCAAGTACACGCGCCAGATATTCGTGCAAAAGGGCGAGCGTATCAAGAACGGAGAGCCTGTCAAGGTCAGCTTCTTCAGACAGGTGGCGCCAGGAGCGACACTAATGTATGAGGATATCTTATACGCGTGTGATGAGGATGTTTGTCCCGAATATACAAAGGATCCACGTATGTTATCATATTTTCTCTCCCTTTTCTCTTCTTGAATCGTCAGCTAATTTCGCTCTTATCATAGGGATCAAGGAAGTTGTCACCCTTACATCCGACCTGTCTCGCAAAAACCTTGAAAAAGATTTTGAACGCATGGACACTCCTCAGGGTACCTTTTACCGAGTGTACTTCGACATCTATCTCACCCTTGACGGCAGCGAGTTCAACGCTGAACTCGTCTGTCAGGGCGAAGTCATGGGACGTTGTTCAGCAAGATTCCGATAAAGGGTATCTGTCGTTCCGACTCTCCCTCCCAGTCCCTCCCCTTTATATTATCCATGCAAAGCAAAATCGGCCAACAAAAAAAAAAAAAAACTTCATAAGAACGAGAGAATAGAGTGAAGAAGAGAGTGAGAGATCCTATCAAAAAAATGTTGAGAGGTGGAGGAAACATTAGGAATAGGAGACAGGGGGCTTTGCGTTTCCACCTTGGCCATTTCCCCGTGGATGGTTTCACGCCTTGGTTTACATACTAACTTATTGATTGGCCTCGCATTTCTTTTTCACTTCCCTTCTATTCGTGATAGATCTATTTTTATCCCCTTCCTTTCCCCCTTTCACGCACTTCTTTCTTGCCGGTTGCCGAGTTGGTAGCAGATTCATCCTACCTATCTCTTAACACACGTACAGCATTCACGCCATATATGACATCTACCAACACCATATCACGGCATACTTACTACTATACGCAGCCCACGACCATCTTTCTGTTTTGCTAAATAATATAGCCAGCCTCGCCCTACTGATTTATATACCCCTTTCCCCTTCGATCCGACTGGTCCGGCTGTCAATATCGTTAGCCTACTCAAATAAAAAAAGGAATCTTTCACTTCTCTTAACATCGTATTTCTTCCCGGTGTGCCTGTCTGCCTTACAGGCACAGAACGTCAACTAGTTGCTCTCGGCTTCTGCTCCTTTTCTTATTCCAATTGTTTGCTACTCATGTACGAAAGGAAATAAGCACTTCAACCCGACGGGAGAAGAAGAGAAGAAGCAAAACGCCTCCCCAAGGCTTCTTCGCTGCCGCCGATCATACGATAATTTTACATAAATCACCGACCATATCCCTTTCATCCCATGCACTAGTTATTACATCCTCCCTCCCCTCCTTTCCCCTGTGAAGAAGAATATCGATATCCCGTTGAATAACAAATATGCACACAAGGGTATGCCATGATATACGACACTAGACAGAAAACATAGCACATATTGACATGTCGACGGGGCAGCGGGAAAAGCAAAGAGAGGATGTATGTCAGAGCCGGAAAAGCTGCAGACACCGAATTAACCAGTTATTCGTCTCCATATTGCTATCATCCCTGCATTAATCATGAAGAGGAGGCTGTGTTGGCTTCGAGAGTTGCCTGGCATTGACTTTATCTGGATAGCAGACACGCGACCTCCTCCCTTTCTCATCCTTGGGATGTGTATCCCCCCTTTTTTGCTTCTTTGAGGTAATAAATGTAATGTACCATGTAGCTAGGATGCGTTAGGCACCCAGGCAGGTTGAGTGCGTCCTTGATGCTCTTCTCAATCTTCTTCGTCGACTGTTTTCTGTCTTCCACGTCTGTCTCACTCATTCGTTCGCTCTTAGGCGCAGGCCAATTTGCATGACAGTCTGCAGCTGTCATGCCTCCAGGTGTTCCTCTCCTATTGCCGATGTCAAGAAAATATCGGGCCACAGTGCTTTGAGCATCAGCTGGCTGCTGCTGCTTTACCTTTTCTCATCGTGCGATGGATCAGGCAAAAGCTCACTTGACCACCTGGCATGGCCTAGCAAGTGGCTTGCTGCTAGCGACTAGGGGCCTGGGCAGACATGTTGCAGCCACGGCTACCGCGGTAAAACGAATCGCATAAAACACCGCAATATGGAGACAAAAACAACATAACCTTGTGGATCCCTGGATTGTGCTGATGGACGTTCCCCGTTCGAAGCATGTTGGGTGGTCACTTGGGCGGATTCTTTTTTCGTCTGACGGGGAGGGGGTTCATGCAGTACGAGGCGCAGCGCTGAACAGGGGCATGGGATTCTGATAAGACACAGGTGAGGAGAAGCAGGACCAGCAGCGGCGGTGACAGCGGCATTCAATACACAACTGCTTGAGTTCCGCTCGACCGCTTCTTTACAAAAGAAGTGGAATCAATATTTGAGGTCAAGCTCGATCATTCAGCCCGTCATAAGCAGCATGTCCAAAAAGGCCACGCGAAACGTATCCCCTGATCCCCTGCAAGGCGTTTTTCTCTGTGGCCGCCACTTCTAGCCACTGTATTTATAAAAAAAAAAAAAAAAAAAAAAACGCCCAAAGCCGAGCTGGTTGTACCATATCGTGGGGGTCTTTTCTCTCCACCAAAAGGTGCCAGGGGACGTCAAAAAGTTGACCGACTCCAGACAGAATTAATTATGACTGTTTCCAATAGTACCACTGCACTCCACAGTCTAACGGTCCAGACAACATGTCTGCCAGCGAATCCCTGCTTTCGAACTTGTCCAACGAGGATGGATCAGTGACATTTTCAGCTGGCCTTGAACGCCGGCCAAGCGCAAGACTGGCATCATCAAAATCTCTTGCAGGACCATGACAGTAATGACCAAAAAAAGCAACGAGAAATTTGAGAAAGAAACAAAGCCATCCATCGTCCGTATAATCGACAGACTTTGAATTCAAACTTCCCATTCTTTACGAGGTCGAGGGACCCCGTCGTGAAAGGGGGGATATTGCTTCCTTCCCTCGAGGCATAGTATAGTTAGTTCTCTCGGTTCGCGCTTCGTAGTGTCACAAGCCACATTCATAGATGACCGAACCGAAGGCCTGGCTTGTCGAACAACAGCCGCCCTCTGCGCAGAAATATTAGTTGTGGATAATACTTGCCATTTCATATAGGACAGGGATATTTCTCGCGGGGGTGGATACGGGCTAAAGCCTCCCACTGACATGGAACGCTGCTTGGCCGTTGTGCACACTCAAAGGGGCATAAAAAGCGCAAGTGCGGTGCGTAGATATGTCCAAGTATACACCGTATGTGTGAGCCCTCGGTATCGCCGGCTAACTGGCTAATTGAAGCGGTCACGAGCGTAAATGATTGATGTGGCAAGGAGGCGTATAGATGTCTATTCAAGACCGTCAGCGTTGTATTAATGCCATCATTCGTGAGCTTGCTCCCGTTTCATACTTCGTCGAAGGGGGATGGAAGGACCAGGGTGGAATCAAAAGATCGCGTGGCCTTCTTCCACCTGGAAGTACCACCATTGGGAGGTGTCGACGGGAAAAAGGAACGAAAAAAGGCAAAAAGGGAGCATATACAGTCATAGCAAATAATACCCCATGCATACTAACATTTGCGTACAACGTATACCATTCCCATGTCGCAATGAACTGAGCTGGTGGAATTTGTTCTCCGTAGTCGGCGTCATAAGCAAAACCGCTCAATCAGTGGTCTTTCAACCGTACATTCCGAGCCTCTCCATCGGTTGCAAGTCCAAGATTTTTGCTTCATTGGCGCACGGACAAGGACAGACGATCTGGATCCGTGGGCCCTGGCCCTGGGCCACAGATTATGGATGATGGGCTTGTGAGAAAACCGTGAGTTAGTTCAGCGGTGGAACCCCCTTTACCTTCGCGCGATTGCCTGCAGGAAAATAAAAACAATATATCCACAATTAAAGCATATATGCTTCTGGACGGGTTGGGGGTAGAGAGGGGGAAGAGGATAGGATGACAGGCTTGAAGCTTTTTGCTTCTTGTCGTTTTCCAAGAACGAAGCTTATGGATGATCGTATGTCTTCTTGCTGACCCAGTCGTGCTTGTCGCACATTCACGAATAGGGATCGTTGGCGGGTTATTCATTGCTCCCTGTGGCTCAGCTCGCTATCAATGGGAATGGGGCCGACACTGTTCACTGTGTGACTGGACTGGGCTATATTGACTGAGAGTTCCGGCACTTCTGCTCGTGGTTGCAATAAAATCCCTTCGGGCATCCTGTTCCTTTTCCTGTTTTCTTTTCCGTTGACCACATGGAAATGGATTTCACTCTGAGTCTCTATATATTTCATTCTGTTCGAGCTCTCCTCTGGACTGCTTTCCTTTCACTTCAATAACATTGATTTTCATATGAGAGATTGCCGCTGTCGCTGTCAATAGAGAGCCGTTGGCCGTCATGTTCATCCTCTTCAATGCCGCCTCTCTGGTGGCCATCTTCTGCATTGTTCTGACCTGGACACATAAATGGTTGTCCCGCTCCTCATGGCGAGCCCAGAAGCAAAAGGCAGAGAATAAGGTCCAGAGAGTGACCCTCCCTCACTCTTCTGCCTCAGGCCAAGGCCCAGTATCATCTCCAGCTCCAGTGCGAGAGAAACCGAAATACCGAATCACCATGGGCCTCAAGAGAATGGACAAAGCTGGCTGGCTCGTCGTTGACGATAACTATAACGCTAGACATCAAGTGCGAGCCAACCTTTTCAACAACAGGAACCGGGAGGTGTCACAGTGCCTTCCTGAAGCAAAAGAGGCATGCGACGAGGCTTTGAAGGAAGTGTCCTCGTTTCTATGCCGGACATACCCTGACATGTTTGAGCTCAAAGAGTCAGCATCAGGGACTATCGTAAGAAACAAACGTATGGGAGAAGAGTTCCCCCTGGAGAACAGCAGCACTCCAGCCCTGGAAGCAGCCGCTAGGCTAGCCATGGAAGACATGACCATCCTCCTCAAGAATGACAGCGGTGACCATTATGTGTACGTCGTATCTGTCTATCAATCAAACAAATTAGTTATCCACTTCCGATAAATAATTGTGTTCAACTTGCTGATGATATCGTGTAGGGCTGCAACCTCCAGTGCATTCCTTATTGGTTGGTCTGCCAATACACGCATGGGCTCGACGCTGAACGAGATGCATGCTCCCGTACCACAATGGGCCCGGCAGATCGCCTTTTCCGTGAACAAGTAAGGCTTCCCATAGTTCCTGATGTTCCGTTTGGTTGTTCGGGCCGGCTTCGTTTCCATGGTTCACTCCCGCTGACATTCTGATAAACAGGTTCATGGCGCGGCTAACCCCTGAATCACCCATGGAACGCTCCAGCTACTTCGTCCAGGTTATCCAGCCCGATGAACCTTGGGAATCTATTTTCTTTCAGCCCGAGGGCCTGCTGCAAGACCACACCGTACCAACCCCTGAACGCGTCCTGATCCGCCGTGAGAGGCAGACTTTCAACCGTCTTCCGAAAACCAACGGCATCCTCTTCACTGTCAAAACAACAGTCTCGTTCCTGGAGGACCTCCCCCTTGGCGAGCTTCAACTGCTGGCAAAGGATATCGAGAGCTGGCCCGAAGACATGGCAGCGTACAAAGGTCGTTCTCACTGGGGAGAGACAATATCGAACTTTTGCCGGGCGAAGGAAGCTAGTTACCTATGACGTAGCTTGCTGACAAAGCAGACATGCATGGTATCAACCCCCTTTTTCTTCTTGTTGGGTTGAACATCTGGATATTTCAAATTGAATCATAAGTCTGGGCGGTTTTCTCTCTCTTTTTTTTTCCCTGTCTTTTATCTGCTGCATGGTATAGGAATGGGGCATGTATCAATGGAGGAAATGGAGGTATTTTGAATTTGTTATTTCATGAAGCTCTGCGAACGAGACCCTGTGATGCTCGACAGAGTCAAGTAGTGGGAGGAAATCCGTATAAAGAATTATATTCGAATGACGTGCGTGAAAAAAGAAGGATACATACAAGATTGAATTGAAAACACCCTCTATATACGTGGTTGCGGGGAAAGAGACGCCCTATAAGTAACAAGAAACGAAGACGAAGGGGGTACCTATGCCACATGCATTACCTTGGAATTAAAGGCGTGTAGCACGGTAAAGAGAAAAAACACTGTCGACCGGATTATAGTTTGCTGCTTGTTGGGGGCTTATCTTGCTTAAGTCGAACGACTCCCTGCATCGAATGGTCAGCCGTCTGGTCTAGTACTTTGCAAGGGTGCTTTGAGATTTGGAGAGAGAGGGCGGATAGAAAAAGAAATATAGCAGAGATTATGAATCTTTTTAGTTACCTCTTGCACGCATGTCGCGATCAGGGTGCCATCCTGAGCCCACATCTGCTGCAGGACAAGGCCTCGGCCTGCCCCGGCCCATGGAGTTCTCATTTCTGAGAATATCCATTCGTCTGCACGGAACGCCCGCCTGTCGTGGAAATATATCGTGTGATCTAAGCTGACCATCATGCCTACTTCCATATTGGGGTCATCTGAGGTCTGTTTTGATAGCTTTAATTCTTGCTCCTCTTGCTCGGCGAGGTCCGTAAGGTATCTTTTAGCTAGCTCCTCTTCGACACCCACTTCTTTCTTTAGCGCTGCAGCGGCCCTTTCTATAGCCCCTGGAGATGAGAAGCGGCGGATATTGTGGACCCTGGATACGGTGCCAATGAAATAACTATCTGACATGTACGCTAAGGCCGTCAGATGGGCTTGTCTGCCACCTTCTGCAGATATCGTGCCCCGGGCCTTGTTGTACAGTTGCAAGGACCTGTCCGCAGCGTGGGGGGAATCTCCTATTATTTTCAAATCCATGTCATTAGCCATTAAGCATATACAAGGTTATGCATAACCACCAGTTATCCGCTAGTAGGTGGGATAAAATGCGGCACTGTCCCCGGATGTTCGCGTACTGTTTGTTATTCCAACCCGTCTCGACTCAAATGGGCCTCGGCCTCGTCCAAGCCCATCTGGCTGCTCGGGCAAGGGAACATCTGGTTTCTTCCTGGTATGCTTGATCTCTTTCTTTCCCCAACTTCCTTCACGGTCAAAACTAAGGGTTGTGGTGAATATGGGCCGCCCCTGTTGTCGTGCCTGGACAGTTCGGGTAGCAAAACTCCTCCCATCACGAACTCGTTCAACGTGGTATAGCACCGGTAACTGTGAATCTCCCGAAAGGACAAAGTAACAATGCATACTATGGGGGTAGAAATCAGGTGGAACCGTTTTTTGAGCTGCGGATAGACATTGGGCTATGGCTGCGCCCCCGTATATGCCTCGAGCGCCAGGAGGGTGCCAGAGGGGCCTAGTGTTTGTAAACACATCCTTTTAAGACAGAAAACCGTTAGCCCATTCGATTCCATCAAGAATAGGCAGCACCTTGGGCGCCTAAAGACTGTACGCACCGGGCCGAGATCTGTCACTGGCGTTAGCTCGAGGACATTCTCGATTTGCGACTTTGAAGGGTCGTGAGGGGGCGCTTCAAATATCGTTGCACCCATGTCTAACCACTTCTTCTCTCAGAATCTCCTTCAATATCCAACGGCAATACAAGACAAATGGCGGGCCAAGGAGGCCAGATACAGACGACCGGCTCGATATTTATTCTTGACCAGGCCTGCCATTATCGCCGCGTCCGAGCCGGCGCCCGTGAATTTTCCTTTCGCCTTTTGGTTCCGTCCAAAGCTTTTTTGAGCCGAGGTCCAGCTGGACTTATGTAATAGATTGAACTCAATTAACTAGTCACGTGAACACGCGCTTCTCGCGTTTATTTTTGCTTTTTCTGTACATCCAACTTTCAACCACAAACAATCAAGTGGTGGACGTTTGGGCAATATGTAAATTGGAGATGGGGCGGTTGCTTTTGACATTGTTACAAGTTCCGAATGCATGGTTTATGATATCTGAAGATATATATGCTCTAAAGCTATGATTAATACTCTTCATTTAACAAGATTATCAGCTTACTCAAGACCAATTACCTGGCAACTTCCAGTGTATCCGGCAACGAGAACAAGGCGTTTTCTATGGACTAGCATTTCTTCTTCTCTAAAATCATTTCTTCCTAAGCCTCCCGAAAGGCGGCGGTTGCTTCCCACCGACGGCTTCCAGGTCGTTGACTCAAATATAGCTATTGAAGAGGAGGCGATCCCTGACTATAGAGCCGATCGATTTTATCCCGTTAAACTCGGAGAAGTTTTTGAAGGCCGTTTCCAAGTGATTGTGAAGCTAGGATTTGGCTCATCATCGACTATTTGGTTGGCCAGGGACCTCAGGTATGTTTCTCCCCACTCCCTATGTTCGAAGTACTTGGCTGTGACAACCTTATCTAACTGCCGTAGGCGTCATGAATATGTAGCTTTAAAGGTATACGTGCATACGTCTAAATACCTCAGGGAACCTCCGTTTTACGATCATATTTCTCGCCATCTTACAAATACGAAATCACAATATGAACGACAAAACATACGACGAGTATTGAGCATCTTTCAACTAGCTGGACCCCATGGTATACACCCCGTTTTAGTTTGTGAAGCATCGCAGATGAGCCTCCGTGATATGAAGACCGTCTTCTTTCCCAATGGTTTTGAAGAATCTTTTGTCAAGGCGGCTACTATTGAGCTCCTTAAGGCTGTAGATTTCCTCCACACCCGCGCAGGGGTCGTTCACACCGGTATGCTTGTATTCTTCCTGGAAGACGGCAGACATTGCATTTGCTCACTACCACTAGATATACATCCTGGCAACTTGCTACTGGGCTTGTATGATAACAATGTACTCCAAGTTCTCGAAAAGATGGAATTTGATTCGCCTGTTCCTCGCAAGCCAGTTTCGGACTCTCGGACTATCTATATGTCACGACTAGGTAAACCCAAAGAAGGGCCAATGCTGTTATCTGACTTCGGAGAGGCAAGAATTGGCCCAGGACCCCATGGCGGAGATATTATGCCACTTGAATTCAGGGCTCCTGAGGTTCTACTATATGTAGGCTGGAGTTATCCGGTTGATATCTGGAGTGTTGGGCTTACAGTATGTTTCCTTCCATCGCTATTAGTAAATAATTAGCAGCTAATATTCCTTATTTAAGGCCTGGGACTTGCTCGGGTGCCAGAGGCTCTTCACAGCCCGAGATGAAGAGGATGGCCAGGCGTACGATGCGGTTCATTTTGCTGAGATGATTGCAGCCCTAGGTCCTCCGCCAGCTGAATTTTTGGCCAAGAACCCTGAGCGACGAGCTGATTTCTGGGGCGAGAAAGGTAGTTAACCATCCGAGAGAGCCTTTCCTTGTTCGTTGGTATATTAAATAAATCTAGGTGAATGGTTGGAGTTGGCACCCATCCCAGAAGGCAGAACACTAGAATTCGTGGAGAACCGGCTGGAAAACAACGAGAAATTCTTGAAGTTCATACGGCGAGCTCTGACTTGGATGCCTGAAGAGAGACCTACTGCAAAAGAGCTAATGCAGGATCCTTGGTTGACGTCGTAGAAACAAACAACTGATTCCGAACCACCCTGGAAAACAGCATGTGCTATCAGTAATGGGCAATCGTTCAGTTCAGAGTCACAGACAACTCGACTCCAGATTGTGGATAATTAATACAAAGCTCCGAGAGGATTATTTCTCGCAGCTATAAAGCCAGGTTGAGTATAACTAACTACGGAGTAGTTAATGGATCAAGAAAATGCGGGTAGCTTTGCGAGCTGACAAACAAGACCGACCTCTAGCTCGCCCTTAACATAAAAGCTGCCACTGAGCCGAAAGAGAAAGCCCACACCAGTGGCCAGCTAGTTATGCAGTTAATGATTTCTTTGGCAATATGGAGCACTCCTTGAGGATCGCCTGGAGTCTGCCCGCCTAAACTTCCTTCAGAGCGGGAGACGCTGTGTCCAGTCCGCTCTCTTTGGCTTATAAGCTTAACTAACTGATCAGCTAATGAACTGCCTTCTGTTGCGGAGAAGTTACGTAGTTGTGCATGCGCCGCTGCGGCAGGAGTTCACTGCTTAACTACTCCGTACTTCGAAGATTCTTAACTAGCTAGTTGCCTAGTTTATGTGTCACAGAGGCGATATCCTTATAATCCCAACATTTCAGTCCTGCATGTCGACCTGCACTTCTACTCTCGCCAGCCACCAGAGGAGCGCACTGTGACCCCGCCAGCCAGCTCGGACAATTCAAACGCCCAGAGAGTGGGAATCAGAAAGTCCGTCTCGGCTAGGATGCCTGCTAGTCTCTCGGACCAGAAGTACGGTTCTCCATCCAGAACGGGCTGCGTCGATGCCTTTCAGCCAATAGATACGACATGCTTGACAGGGAGATGCAATGCTGCTGAGCATTTTTGATAACTTTTATGGCCCTGTCCTGGGAATTCAGCCCAGACAGCGAGGCATGGCGACGACGCCGCAGGCCTGTTCCGGCGCTGGGCCACCTCGTTAACTAACTTGTTAGCTCGCTGAGCGGGCACTGCCGATCACCACTTTAGTTAGGCCTGGTCAAGGATGCAATGGAAATTATCCAAAAGAAAAGGGCTGCTGACGAGCAGCTATAAAAACCCTGCCGGCCAGTTCTGGGTGGTTGGGCCAGCTGTCAGCGCAAAGGCCGTTCTGTCACCACACAATTTGGCTGTGCCGTCGAGTCAAGATGCGTTTCTCGACTCTAGTCAGTCTCGCCGCATGGGCGGCCGCAGCTCTCGCCTGCGACTCCTGCAGTGAGCCAGGCAAGCCAGCCGAGCATAAAAGACTGGTGCGCCGCATGCAGCCTGAAGCTCTGGGAGCGCTCACGAAACCCAAGGGACCTCTCGAATGGGGCCAGATCAACTTCTTGCACACTACCGATACCCACGGATGGCTCGAGGGCCATCTGAAGGAGCAGAACTACGGCGCTGACTGGGGAGACTATTCCTCGTTCGTCAAGCATATGAGACAAAAGGCTGACCGACTCCGAGTCGACCTGCTTCTCATCGACTGCGGTATGTTCTACTTCTATATTATCTTCTTTCCTGCCGTCGTCGCCAGTGTTGGCTGATGTTGGGAAAAGGTGATTTGCACGATGGCAACGGATTAAGTGACTCTACCTCGCCCAATGGCGTCATCTCCAACGAGATCTTCTCCCGCGTCGACTACGACCTGCTTAGCATCGGAAACCATGAACTGTACGTGACTGATGTCGCCTATGAGACATTTGCAAACTTCTCCAAGGTCTACGGCGAGAGATACGTGACCAGCAACGTCCAGATCATCAACAAGGAGACCGGCGAGTACGAATACATTGGCAGCAAGTACCGCTACTTTACTACCAAGCATGGTCTCAAGGTCATGGCCTTTGGCGTCCTTTTCGATTTCACTGGTAACTCCAACGTCTCTAAGGTCATTAAAGCTGCAGATCTTGTCCAGGAATCCTGGTTTATCGATGCCGTCAAGACACCCAAACCCGTTGACCTTTTCATCATCTTCGGCCATACACCTGCCCGCACTGATGACAAATTCCCAACCCTCCGCACTCTGCGTCAGAAAATCCAGGAACTTCGCCCTGGTGTCCCAATTCAGGCTTTTGGTGGACACAATCACGTTCGAGACTTCGTTGTCTATGACGAGACTTCTACTGCTCTCGGATCCGGAAGATACTGTGAGACCCTCGGATGGCTATCCATGACTGGAATCAATTCTCGTACCTTCAGAGGTAGCATGAAACCAAGAGGTGTTCCCAATCCCACTCGTCGTGCCATCAAGGGAAATGCCACTACCTCTACCCAGCCGTACCAGCATCCACGCAAGGGATTGGACCTCCGCTATGCCCGCCGTTATCTCGACTGGAACCGCTTGACCTTTGCCTACCATGCTTCTAAGTCTCAGGATCGACAATTTGACACTCAAAAGGGTCTGAAGATTACGCACGACATCACTGATGCTCGCAAGCAGCTCAACACCTCTACCGTTCTGGGATGCGTCCCTGAGACCTACTGCATGTCCTGTGTTCCCTTTGAAGCTAAGAATAACATTTACCAGCTTGTTATCGACATGTTGGCCAAGGTTGTTGTCAAGGAGGATCGCGCTGATAAGCCAAGATTGCTCCTCCTGAACACTGGCGGCGTCCGATTCGACCTCGTCAAGGGCCCCTTCACTAAGGACGACGAGTACATCGTCTATCCCTTCAAGAATCAGTTCCAATACCTGCCTGATGTACCGTACTCCATTGCTAAGGAACTCCTGGATGCCCTCAACAAGGGACCCTACCAGAGACGGTCCGAGGAATACTCTCCCATGGCCCCCCAGCTAAGCACTAATGAGGTCTGCGCCAACCCTTCGCCTGAATTCGTTCAGCTCAAGCGCCGCGAGGCTCCCCAGCCCTACAGGCCCATCACCCGCCGCACCATCGACTCCTCTATGTTGTATCCCGGCTACGTTACATCTGATGATTTTGGTCTCGATGGAGACGACACCCCACACTCCAAGATCCCGTATTTCAAGGTGCCCATTGACATCCAGGCAAACGCCTCTTTCCCTACTAATGGCTCCATGCCGACAGTTGTCGATCTCGCCTTTGTAGACTATATCGGTGCCAAATACGTGATCCCAGCCCTTAACAAGCTTGGTGGCAAGTACTCTGCTAGCGATATCCAGAGTTACAAGGACTTTGGATCATCGAGCTTCTTGCGCGAGTATGCTCTCGAGTTCTGGCAGGAGGGCCTGCCTAACTGCACTACCAACTAATGACTGGGATGTTTTAAGGGCTCTTAAATGATTAAACATTCAATGTAGATATGATAATGATGAAGTTAATTATTTGTCGTTTGGAGGGATTTCAACTGTAACAGCCCAAAAATAGAGCTGCTATATGATTTTATACATGGATATATGGTCATTGTTGAGTAAATAGAGGCGATATGTCTTCCTTTTTACGAAACTCCAAAGTGGCTTCTAAATCTTGTAAGGTCTCCATCACTACTCCCCACAAGAAAGAGGATCGGTGGTATCCCTACCCCCTAAGAGCCCATGATTCCGAACTGGCACATCTATGCACCCTACCGAACTAGATGGCAGATATGGAAGAGCCAGCTGCCCCGGGATCAGCCAATTAGAAGACGGCATCAAATCTCTTTTGAGCCTCCTTTTTGTTAATTTCAACCACAACGTCAGACGAAGACAGCATAGTAAATGGCTGGACCCGAAACCTGCTTCTTATCAACAATCTTTACGCTAATAGCTAGTCGATAAACGGTGATTATCATTATTTGGATGTCACAGTGATGACCTGGCTGAAAGCATCAGTTCCATATACATCGCTATTGAGGATCACCACGGCTTTATTGTTGCCCTCGACACGTATAAACCGTCGTCAACTCCTAAGTACTCCTTTCCCGAGGTCTTTCTCATCTCGTATACCGGCTGCAGTACTGGTAAATGACGATACAGACGCGGACCCTCCATACATCGAGTACGACTGGGTCGATGGCGCGGAGTCACTTTCAAAATATCAACCAGGAGGCTATCACCCCATTTCGATTGGCGATATGCTTCGTGATAGATACCATATAGTGGACAAGCTGGGATTTGGCGGCTATGCAACTATCTGGTTGGCCCGAGACTTCCAATTAGGCCGTTATGTTGCTCTCAAAGTTGGGATTGCAGATTCCCTTCCACACGAAATAAAAACGCTCCAGGCCCTTTCAACAGCATCAGTGAAATCTACGCTGCCAAACATACCAACCAAGCTTAGAGAATATGCACATAGATCAATACCCGTTCCTCTTGATGAATTCAACATACATGGTCCTAATGGAACGCATCCATGTTATACGATGCCCCCAGCTCAGTGTAATCTATGGGAGGCATCGTACAGTCGTTTATTCCCTATCGATGTGGCACGAGCAATATCTGCTGCCATTGTTTTATCCACTGCTTCTATACATTCTCGGGGTTTTGTTCATGGAGGTGCGTGGTAAGACAGAGCGTTAATCAACCTGACAGCGTCATTCTAACCATCATAAATATACACCTGCGAAATATCCTAGCTAAACTGCCGTCTAGCTTTGACGAGCTCTCGGTTGCAAAGTTTTACACGGAATATGGAGAACCCGAGACTGTATCAATTACCAGACGTGATGGAGCCCTACTTCCACATAATGTCCCAGCACAGGCAGTGATACCCATTAGTTTGGGCAAAGACGCAGAAGATTTTATACTTAGTGACACACATGTACTGTTGAGCGACTTTGGGGAGGCATTTTCCCCCGGCTCCCAACCTCGTTTGGGAAAAGACTGCCACACACCCTTACATCTTAGGCCTCCCGAAGCTCGATTTGAGCCAGACACCCAGATGTCATATTCAGCTGATATATGGGGGTTAGCGGTTGCAATCTGGGAGATAGCAGGCATGAAAGCTATCTGGAGTTGTGAATTCGCAACACCAGATAGTGTGACAAAGCAGCACATCGAAGTACTTGGGCCCATGCCTGTGGAGTGGTGGGAGCGATGGGATGAACGGCATGAGTACTTCGACGAGAATGGGAAACCCACACAGGGCAGGGAAGTTTGGCCTCCATTGGACCAGGCTTTTGAGGAAGGAGTTCAGAAGTATCGACGAAAGATGCAACCAAACGGCGTCTTCAGCGAAAAGGAAGCGGCTGCATTTCTCAGTTTAATGCGCCAAATGCTTGTATTCCGACCCGAAGAACGTCTGACAGCATTGCAAGTCCTGGAATCAGAATGGATGGTTAATTGGGCTTTGCCCAGTTTTGAACAGAGCCTGGACAACTGAATTCATATAACGCTGGAGTCAACATTCGAGCGTCTTGGACGGTGGGCTGTACACCCAAACTTTGCTACACTCGGCAGCTAATTCGTCCATTACTATTGTATTAAATATTTTATCCTTCATCATCTTGACATGGCGGCCACCAAAATAAGATGGGGGTCAATTGCAGCGTTGCGCCAAAGATTCCAAAGAAGCAACTAAAAAAAGTTGCTGCAGCCACAAAACTTAAAAGATCGCCGAAAAACCGTCTGTTTAGAACACAGCAAATTCTGCATACTTTGACATCAACAAAATGAAGAGAGAGAAAAAAAAAAGACTGGAGCCAGTCCACCCAAAGGCCGGCTGGCAGGCATAGTTACTTGAAGATGTGGCATCGCCCGGAATCGAACCGGGACCAACTCGGCTTTGCTTGTGTTCCACAACGAGTTATCATGACCATTAGACTACGACACCGGAGATGCTGCAATTGCCACGGCCGCCTCAAGATGAGGTTTTCGCTGTGGATACGAATACGGAGAAGATAGGTAGCCAGCTGGTGATATTTTCGAGTTGTATTTCCGCAACAAAAGGATTATCGCTATGTCCCATGAACTGACTCGACAGCATGAGTACGATTGAGTATTGAGGTGCCCCCAAACTGATATACAATGCAGCAGTTACACGACATACGAAAAAGAAATCAGAACAGCAAACGAGTGATCCGGACACGGGGCTGCGCTGCCATTCCCCGTAAGAGTTATTGATCGAGTACTATCTCACGCCAACGTTGCCACAAATACCAGGGTGTGTCTGAGGGGAAAGACCGTAGCACCCAAGGCAGTAATGGGCAGTGGCGTAACGATCATGCCTCCGCCTTGCTGCTCGGGAGTTCGAAGTAGAACTTGTTGTACTTTTCCGGGTGATAGGATGAGAAGTAGTCCATATACAGCAGCTCTTCCCTTGTCTTCGGCTTGATGGTCAAATCTGGAAAGTTGCGCAGCACGCTGCCGAGAGTCACATAAAGCTCACAGGCAGCAAGTCTGGAATTTGGGCGCAAGGAGGAAAAAAAGGAACGAGAATGTTAGCCATGTATATGCACACAGACGGAGCCCAGGCAGCCATTATATAATTGGCCGGGGACGGACGCTGCAGATAGACTGGTGGGCCGCATGAAGGAAAGAAAACGAGTACGCAAAGGCTTTGGTAAAACTTACTGCATGCCAACGCAGGCGCGGGATCCTTTGCTAAATGCCACGAGATACTTTTCAAGCTCGGCGCTGACTTTCGGATCTAGCCAGCGCGAGGGATCGAATTTGTCAGGGTCAGGGAAAATGTCTTGATTTCGATGCATAGTCCATGAACTCATGCCCACGGTTGTCTGGATAAATAGTTAGGGCGCTGGCTGTCATTTGTCCCTAGGAGGGACGGGGTGGGCTGGGGTTTGGGGACGGAGTACTTACGCCGGCCGGTACTTTATACCCATCAAACTCGGCACCGGATTCTGGTACCACTCTGGGGAGACGTCCAGCAACACCAAATGATAAGCTGATATACCCTGTTAGTTGCTGTCTTGGTGCATATAACTAGCGGTCACACTCACCGCAGAGCTTCCTTGATTATACCAGTCTATATCTCATGGTACCTGTTATCAGCGGTGATGCTCGAACGAAAACGAAAATAAAAGAAAAACAAGGGGTAATGACGAACAAAATACGGCAATTTCTCCAGGGTGACGAAGTCGATATCTCCATTTGGATCAGGGAATGCCTCGCGCAGTTCAGCGGTTACTGCTGCGTATATTTTCGGTGATGAAACGGTATTGTACAATCCTATTGTCATGGCATTTCCTGTTGTGTCAGCAGCAGCAGCAACAACAATGTATGCTTCGTCCTTCAGCTGTTCAACTGTCGGGATTTCTTTCATGAACTCCGGGTTCAAGAATTGGTGAAAAATAGTGGTCCGCTCGGGCTTCTCGTTGGCCTCCACCTGACGTTTCACTCTGACCACCTGTTCTCGGCTGCTCTAAAGCCGGTTTCAGCGTAATGGCCATACTGTTTCTACATGGGGAGACTTACCTGATGGAACTGCAACATGCGTGTCAAGGATGGGCTCGTCAAATGGGCCACCCATGGCGGTACTCCAAGCAAGATAGGCCGCAAAACGGGGAACTGCTGGAAAAACCAAAACATCGGGCCAAAACCTCGGATCATGTCGAAAAACGGCGCGCCGAAGTCCTCCTTTTCTAGAAAGTTGTAGCAATTGTCAAAGGCATAGTCACTAATGACATCGATTGAGATTGCTCGAAACCCGTGATGGAGATCTATTCCCCCACAGGTCTTGAGAGCAGTCGATATGCGCCTCACTAGAGTTTTGGCCTTCGATTGAACGATGCCCTCAAGTTCAAGGACACGCTTTCGAGAGAAGAACGGGTTGAAGGCCGCTCGCTTCATTCGGTGAACATTATTGTCGGCGGTTGTGAAGGTCGCCTTGTCCACGCCGAATGCATCGTAAAAAGGGGCACTCTTGTTATATGGGGTCCCGACATGATATATCTTATCATAGTTCTCTGGGTTGCTCAAATGGATCTCATCAGGAGTTATCCGGATCACAGGGCCTACATAATACTCCAGTAAGCTCGGTTTCGACTTCTCATATTTGTATATATACCAGGAACGAATCATACCATATATTTGATGCAACTTATCGATTTGAAGGTATAGCTTCCCATCCAATATACCATTGAAATAAAAGGAGTATAAGTGCGTCGCTCGGGCAAGGAATGGGCCAGGAATATGTGCCAATGGATGGAAATTGATTCGATATATAACAACTGCTGCAAACCAAACAATAGTGCCCAATCCTGCTACGGTGGCAAGGATGGTGAGAGAGGAAGGATCAAGTAAATAGCCAGTGAAGCCAGCCATGGTTTCACTCCGACGACGTTATGATATCGTCTGTCTCTGGGAGACCGCAGAGAGATCCGTCATCTTACAGCAGGTGCAAACATTAACATTAACATATGCAGTATTAAATAAGTCAGGGAGCAAGACGAGACTAAGATTGTCAAGCTGGCCCGCAATTTATACTCTTCCGTATACATTTCAAGAACCAACCACCCTGTCACAAGTAATGATATCGAACCTTAAAAGGGAGCGGGACGCGAAAGATGAAGGCATGATTGAGAGGGTTTGGGTTGAAATTACAACCCTTCAGTGGAGCGAAGCTCGTTGGCTGGCATGCCGGGGAAGGGAATGGGAGATGTTCCAAGCCCATACCCTCAAGGCGCCAATTCAGCCATTTTTGCGCCAGGTGAACAGATGAACCGTCGAAATTGGCCGCCGGGCTTCATATTACTAGTCTAAGTTAGCAATCACCGCTGGAGTTTGATATTCTTCACAGATTTCCACATCGTATTTCGGATCCACACATGCCATCTTTCAATTTGAATACGGGCTAAAAGGTGACATCTAGAAAAAGGTGACGGATTCGATAAACGTCATAGATTTATATATCCTCATGATCTGCTTATCGCCGTCTGTGAGCACTCCGTATTCGTTAGCCTCGGGCTACTTTAATGGTCTGTGGCATTGGTGCACTGTTAGGGGTGTATATGTCAGCCTAAGTTCTGGCTTTTATGTTCTCAAATAAGCCGTCCGTGCGAAAGAAATTACTGCTATATTCACGAATAATACGACAGATGACGTACAGCTGAGTATGTCGAATTATGGAAAACGACTTTACTCTGTAAAGTAAGTACAGATGGTCTCTCTGGGGTTCGAAGGCAGAGCGAACTCTTCAAAAGTGGGACTTGTAGCTGAAAGAATAACTTGATCGTCGGTTGGTGTCCTCCCCATGATAAAAGACATTCCAGGTTGAGAAGAAGAAAGTATGCCGAACCTTATGTGTAAAGAAGGATTATAAAGCGGTTGGTCGCGCAGAGTAGGGTTTTTGCCCGTAGACGCTGACACTATGGAAATGTGAGCACGTTGGTTCGCTGACAACGATGGTGCAACACCTCGCATCCCTCCTGTATCGTGGTCAAGATAGGAGGGGAAGGCGGAAAAAAGAGTTTTGGGGCAAACAGGGAAGCGAACTTACACATAGAAGTATGCATGGGTCTTCGGGTCGCGAAGCCCGGCCCGCATTTTAGCTAAAAATATTTGGACCTCCTCATAAGTCCACTGGAGGAGATGGCGAAAGTCAAAATTTTGGACACCCGGGGCGACAGATGGGGAAAAGAAGAAATCTGGACAACGACATACCTGCATGACTCTGGTAAGTAAGGCCATGGCCCAGCCTTCAATGCCCTCTTCGCAATGGAGAAGATTCCACTGGCCGAGCCGCTTGATCTGTTTGTCTTTCCCCCAGCCTCCTACGGGGAGTTTGAATCTCGTCTCCACAACATTTTCGAAGCCAGCATCATCCATATATTTTTTGGCTAAATCAGCGATACGGAAGGTCTTGCCAATCCTTTCACCAGCTTCAATAAACGTCCGCGACCATACTGCGAGCACATGGTCGTCAGTAACGGTTCCATCGTCTGATCGGAATTCTATGGACATCTCGATCTGATCGAACCATGCGCCAGGTTTCAGATGCCTGTACGACCGTTAGAGTTGCACAGTTACGGTGTCCATATATTGCGATTAATTAAAACCGTACTTAAGAGCTTGGGAGTAAAGTTTCGGCCAGTCTGATATCGCACCATAAAGGGCACGAATATGTATCAAATCGAAGTGGTCCTCCGGAAATGTCCAATCTTCGCTCGCATCATCGATTTCGAAGCGGAGGTTTGGTGGGACAAAGGCAGGCTGAATTGGAGATAGGTCGGTTCCGATAACCTCAGCGGAAGGATATTCGTCGGCAAAATCACTGAGTATGCCTATTAGACAACCGCTCATATGGTGCTGTGACTCATTTTTAAGGAGCTTACATGGCCCACTATCGAATAAAAAAGTCAGTGAGAGAGTCAGAAGCAGAGGAGATAACCAGTACATACTATTCCCGTGCCGGTCCCAAGGTCAAGAACAGTCTGAAATATAGTTAATATGATTGCGCCACCCAAAGCTGTGTCTCCAAGGGAATATACCTGTATATTCTCGTCGATTGGGGCAAGGAGAAGTCTCCCGTTTAATAAAAGCGAAAACATATGATGCCTAAGAGATTTGTTAGCGTGTAAATCAATTTGCTGATAGTGATAAGAGGTCCCACAGACGTACGCGATATCGAGTTGCTCATTTTGCCGATCATCGTTGGGTCCCCTTGCAAGAAAACATATCAGAATATGTACCACATCATACGGTCTGCTAACAGCTCATACCAATAGGCACCAGCCTTATATGCGTGGTATCTTCTGCCGTTCTCGAATCTATAAGCGCAAATGTCCGTTTTTATTGACGTTGTATCGCTTGCGCTGCTAAATTGACAACAGCCAGAATTATCAGTATAAACGGGCCAATGCTTATATTATCAAGACCTTCCTTACTCGTCATCTGGAAAATCCGAATCATGGTCATCATCCACTTCCTAGTGGGACGATATCAGCATCCTGTTCTTCCTTGTCCTTTGACGTTCATGAACATACCAGTGGATTGCCGTGAGGGTTGTCGGACTCCGGTACTTCTTGAGGAGGCGATGGGCGTTGTGAAGGACTGTGAGATTTCGATGGACTCGAATGAACAGACGGCGAGGATGTCATTGTCACTAGTTTATTATGATATATATACGAACGGGTAGGAAAAACTCGATAAGCCCTATTGTTGTAATCTATATAGACGGAGATAGAATGTTATCTCGAGGAGTTAGACATGAGGTATAAATCGAGAGCTTAAATAAATGCTCAAGACGCGAAAGACGAATGTGATCAGTCATTCAGTCCGAGGGTAAGGCAGAGGAAGAGCATGGTTGATGCAGAATCTTATGCAAGTGACTTACATTCCAGCAGGGAGCTTCATGTTCCACACGATAGACGAACTACATACAGTTCGCAAAACTTGGCCACAAACCGCCAGATGATTGAAGTTGGGATGAAATGAGGTTGTGTCTCCAGGAGCGCACGGAGAAGAAATAGCTCTCGCGCAGACTGGAAGGGCAGCCTAGTCCGTTCCACTACTGGCGATAAAAGAAAAGAAAGCGGCCTGACGATGGTTTCTCTTAGTTATGGTGTCCAGCTGTGAGCGTGCGAGTGATTGGGCGCGCCTTCGCCAAGGCCCGAGAGTCAATATACACTCTCAACAAGGGTGAGGTCGAGACAACGGTGAGTGGACAGACAAGCCGCCACAAAGGTCAGAAAACCGCTTGCTAGGACTGGCCGCCTGAGCTCTGGTCACCAATGAGAATTGCGCTGCTGAAGGGAAAGCTTGGGATGATCTCTTCTCCAGTGGTAATTCGGCCAACAACCACTTTTTTTTGGTCTGGGCTCTTTTGCTCCGTCTATGAATTCGTGAAATGTTGCTGCATGGCAACCGTTGGAAATGTACTCCGTACTCCGTACGTTGGCGGCAAGGGCCTGTCTCTCTTTGCATGTGGCCGTTTGAAGATGGCCCCGCAGCGGGTGAAATCAAGGGCGAAGTCGACTCCATAGTACGGAGTACCCCAGAGGACAGAAATCAGGTAAATGATAATTACTGTCGCTGCCGCCAATTAGCGAGCTCGCCTCCAGGTCCAGCATTGGCACATTAGACTTGAACGTTTTTTTTCTTGCTTCTATCGAGATCCCTCTGTATACTCTGGAGGTGTCCATCAACGAGCTCCACGCTGCTGATATTCATGCCAGGAACCCACAGGATCAGCTCTTCGAGGCAGAGCAGTGTGTTGGGCAACCATTGGTAGGATCCGGGTGTTTCCTTTGCAAAATTGAGAAGCTGATAGACAAGATGTCAGCGCTGCGTTGTCCTTTGGATGTCGTCTTTGGTTTGTGCCATCGCTGTCTTTCACCTCGTCGTCGTCGTCGTCGTCGTCGTGAATTTCCTTTTTGGGTTCCAAGAGTCCATTACAGTCACGTGAATGTTTTGATGACAAACCCCTGATGAGTAATATATGAGTAATAAAAATTCCACGTTTTCACGTGATTCGTTTACCAATGACTAAGCTGAATGTCTGTTGGCCAATCAGCGCTCAGCCCTAAAGCGCAACCCACAAAGACGCAACAAGAAAAAAAAGTCGCTAAGCGAAAGTCGAAAGTTGAATCTTCAACTTCAAGTCTCTTCCTCTCTCCCTTGAAGAAGAAACCAGCAGCACGACTTGGACGAAATCGCCGACCACCACCATAACGCCCTTGCGTCCACGTATATCGACTCGTCGACTCACGGTTAAACGGCTTCCAACATGTCTGACGGGGAAGTTGAGGTCGAAACCGGCGCCTACGATGTGCTGCCCAAGGATGTCACCGCCGAGATGGGCAACATCAAGCTCTTCAACAAATGGAGCTACGAGGACATTCAGGTCCGAGACATCTCTTTGACGTACGTCTTTCCGTCTTCTTTGCGGGCTCTTCACTGCGCGAGATCGGTTCCTCCCCTCTGGAACGAAACGAAGAACATATACAAAGCATTAGATTGAACAGGGAGAAGGATTGTTAAACTGAGCGCAACTGGAAGCTGACATGCGCATATAGCGATTACATCCAGATCCGACAACCTGTCTACGTCCCTCACTCCGCTGGCCGATATGCTGCTAAGCGATTCCGGAAAGCCCAGTGCCCCATCATTGAGCGTCTCACCAACTCGCTCATGATGAACGGCCGAAACAACGGAAAGAAGGTCATGGCTGTCCGAATTGTTGCTCACGCCTTCGAGATCGTACGTGAAACTACCTTCGATGCTCAGAAATATTACTAGAGATCAAATTTAGCGAGATCAACGACCGGGCTAACGTTAATTTATTCAGATTCACATCATGACCGACCAGAACCCTATCCAGATCACCGTCGATGCTATCTCCAACTGCGGTCCCCGAGAAGACAGTACCCGAATTGGTTCTGCTGGTACCGTCCGTCGTCAGGCTGTTGATGTCTCCCCTCTCCGCCGTGTCAACCAGGCCATTGCTCTCATCACCATCGGTGCTCGTGAAGCCTCTTTCCGCAACATCAAGACCATCTCTGAATGTCTCGCTGACGAGCTTATCAACGCCGCCAAGGGCTCTTCAAACTCTTACGCCATCAAGAAGAAGGACGAGTTGGAGCGTGTCGCCAAGAGTAACCGATAAAAAATCAAAATGCAAGGAATACACATTTGCCATTTGGGGGTTATTGCGTTTTTTTTCCCTGACGTATTGCGCATGGGTGTGTATGTGAGGCGAGGACGAAATTGCCCTTTACTTCTGTATGGATTCGGCTCTTCATATTGTGTGTGAAATTTGGGCCACGGGAACCATACGGTGTTAAAGAGAACAAGAAAAATCCAAGATGGATGACCTTTCTTCTAATGTAGCCGCAATGCAAACTATTATGATCTACATTTCGACAACGACCCATTAATTCATTGAATCTGTACGATCATTATTGACAAGGGATTGTAGTATTCGTGCCTCAGCTGATCCGAACTTGACTCACCTTGAAATGTAAAGGAATCTTTTAGCGGCTATATTTCTATTAAACTGTGGTTGCCATCGCTCTCAGTATATGCACTACTTAGCACAGCAGGGAGTGTACGAAAAATTTGGCTGTCTGGGACCCCGAGGCAGTCCAAAAGTTAGTGTATCGTGAAAATTTGATAAGATAGTAACTTAATTTTTTTTCATCTTTGCGCCTTCAAATTTCTCAATTACACCAACCGACCAACACCTTCGTTTAATTAACTGGAGCATAATGGGGAAGCGCAAGTTAGGCGCATTGGAGAAGGTCGATGCTGACTTGTTAGTGATGCCGGTTCTCTCTCGTTTCGTGGTTGATCCTGCGGCTTCTTTCGTATACAGGCAGCTAACTCATATCCAACAGAACAAATCTACAGTACAAAATTCGACGAGACCCAAAGTACGTTACATCTCTTGCTATGCAGTTTTATATATATCCAATATACTGGGATCTGTGGTCAGCGAATATTCATCGCTAACCATTTCTCTTGCGCAACAGATCCTATGTTGAAGACTTCAGAAGCCAACACCTTCAATATGAAAACCACCGCGAGATATTCATGGCTGCTCCTTCAGCTGCTACCGATACCGGAATAATATCCTTGATAGATCTGATTGATTTTGTGGCGCATGTTGCAGAATGCTATCCAGAAATAACGAAAGATTTTCCGCAAGAGTTAATTGAGATGATTTCGCTTCACCATGCGGTGCTAAGTCCAGATTTACGGGAAAAAATCGTGGGCAGCCTGGTGCTATTAAAGCGGAAAGATATAATTGATTCTTCGACGTAAGGGTATAGCCTGTGTCTCGTTCGCTCTAGACATATACTTACATTGATATACAGTCTTCTCCAGACATTATTCCCTATTCTAGTGTCGACACCGAGCAAAACACTCCGAGCATTCCTATTCCAAAAAATAGTTTCAGACTTACGATCAGCTAATGCGAAGACTACGAATCACAAACTAAATAGAACCATCCAAACTGTGCTGTTCAACCTGGTTGTTGCTGACCGATCTTCAAGCAAGGCTCTCTGGTCGGTAAAGATTACTCGCGAGCTATGGAAACGCCAGATATGGACCGAATCAAAGGCGGTGGAAATCATGAAAGAAGCCGCCCTGGCTGATAATGAAAAGGTTATTATTGGTGGTGTCCGGTTCTTCCTGGGTGGTGATAAAGAGAGAGAAGAACTTGAGGACGAGAGCAGTGATGACGATGTCATAGACGTTGGCAAGGTCAAACATCAAGCTACCATCAACAAGGGGTCGAAGAAAAGAGCAAAAGCCATTGAAAAGGCGAAGGCAATAGTGAAGAAGAAGGAGAAGAAAAAGAACGCTCCTCACCCCTTGAATTTCTCGGCCTTACACCTTCTACATGACCCCCAAGGTTTTGCAGAGAACTTATTTCAGAAGCATCTACAAAACAC